GTGGTTCGCCATTTTTCGGTATTTTTAACTTACTCAGTCTTCGTTCGTACGTTCTAAATCCGGCAATTTAAATATTCTGAAAGGTAAGTGAATGAGTCCTCGGGGGTTACATAAAGCACGGTTTCCAAATTTTTCTCGTCACGCCCACCCTCCAATCTTATATCAATCAGTTATTGGCTGCATTCGTAACGCTGATTTGCAGTTTATCTGTGTGCAAAAAAAAAAAAATGAATAAAATAAAAATGGAGAATTTCTAATTAGGGCGCCGATATGCAAATCATTGGGCTTTGAGCCGTATTAATGCGAATATTTAATGTTGTTTAAGTCTATGTATAACCCCTGGCCCCAACCTATTTAGCCCCGTCTATTTACTATTTACTTTTGTCGCCGAACTTTCCCCGCCGGTCTTGTTTTTTTATGCATTTTTATCTGCGTCTGCCGTTGCTGCGCGTTTGTTGTCTCCCACCGGTTTTTGCCGCTGATGTCTCTTCTGAAAATGAGATAGAGAGAAAGAGGAGAAAGAGTCAAAAGAGAGGGCGATAAATTATGGAGACAGTCAGACACGTAGACCAGCTTTTCTCGTCCACCTGTAAGTCTCCAGGTGCCGAGCGTCCAAAGTTTAATCGTGAATCGTGTCGACAGTTTTAATTAAAGCACAAATACTTTGTATATCTACAAATAGACTGTTCGAGAACATCTCCAGATAGCCCCTGACGAGGGCTCGTATCTCATGGGAACTTTGTGCAATACAGTCAAACGTCCATTGTTAGGAAATCGTTAGCTTATTTGTTTTATGCAAATATTTATTGATTTTGTGATTTATAAATATGAGATACGGTTTCTGACGAGATTTGAAATTGATGACGTTAACGTAACCAAGTAAAGGGATTCTGATACCCAAGATATACTTATATTTTCCATTAATCTGTTAAATTGGTTTAAACCCCTTTTTTTTAACATTCAGTTTTTGGTTTTAAAATATTCTTAAACTTAACTTAATAACTTCTCTTGAATTTCTTAAGATCAATTTAATATACCAATACTAAATTTTGTATAATCATTAGAGCATTTAAATATTTCAGAGAAATAAAGTTTATAATTAAACATTTTTAAGTTCACTTTAAGGATACAATATTATTTTTTTCTTACCCTCCCTTATTGCTTTGTGTTTCCCTTTTAATATATTATTTTAAATAATTATTGAACATTCGATTAGAAGTACTATCCACTGTATTTTGCGCCCTGACATTGCATGTTTATTTACCAATGCCAAATCTTATCTTTTACGTGTTTTGATACAATATGAATAAGGGGGTGTGGGTTGGAATTTGATATGGTTGAGCATGTGTATAAAGTGTGCCGGCACAGATGTAGTACAAAAAACCGTTTGTGAAAGCTTGAATATTGATATTTTTCGGCCACCGCCTCTCTATTTTACCCATTTGTGGGCGTGGCCTGGGCCTATGGCGTGATGCGCGATCGCGCCACCATGGCATGCTAATTAACTAGTTGAAGAAGGTGGTATGCCACTTTTGAAAATCTCTGGAATCAAAGCTAAACGCTCTCATTATTTTAATTGAATCAAAAAAAGAAACCAACACAAGGAAAAAGAATCACGCAATTGCGATTAGTTATACAATTGAGCGGCATTAACTGGAAAAGATAAGGAGCGCAAGAGCAGACATCTCGAGATAATCAGAGCGAGCGTCTGCTTTGGCGCCAAAGTTCAGAAAATATCTGAGCTTTGACAGTGACCTGTCACAGTGCCATCACTGTCGACTATCGTTATCGATGTCTCCTAGAAGGCCGGTCAGCTGTTAAAGAGAAAATCAAAAGCAGTCATAAATTCTATGCGCAGCACGCGCCTTTTGTGAAATTATCAAGTCGGCCCTGAACTCAGCGTAAAAGCTGCTGGCCTCTGCTTATGCTTTCAAATAGTGGAAAAGTTTTTGCCGGCAACAGTGGGAGAAGTAAAAAGAGAGAACGAGAGTGAATAAGAGCGAGGCGCCACCCGCAATGCAAATCCAATTGAGAAGTCCAGCTGCCAGCTGGCGATAACGATTACAAGTCCGACGCATTTCTGAGTGTTTATGTTTCTTTTTAATTACAAGTTGAAAATAATAATTGAAAGCTAGTATTTAACGCGCCGAGTGTGGTTGCGAGAGCAGCTTATCAAAGTCCGTCAGCTAAATCTTATCAGTGCGGGCATTTAGTACGTTGTGATTACCCCGATTGCGCAACAATTGTCCGGAGAGAGTCGGGTAGAATCAAAAAGTGCAGTGAATAACGGAACAATTATCAGTTACAGCTACGTCGCGCCGGCCGCCTGCACAGTTTTTGTCCAGAGACTTTCGCTTAATGCCGGGCTTTCAGTGTCAGTTTCGATCTGTTTTTATTTGGTGACAAAGCTGAAAATTTCGTCTCTCGTTTCCAGTCTCCCAATTCATTCATAAAAATCCGCAAGTTAAAAAATGTTTGCCGTGCGCCGCTCCGCAGCTCTGATGACGTCGGTCCACCGGCAGCCGCAGCTCATCCGCGCCGTGTTCCGGGCGAATTTCGCCAGCACCGCCGTGGTATGTTCATCCGACGTCGCCCTTGTTCGACGCCCTATCTATCTTCCTGTGCTGTCCAAATTTCCGGTCCAGGGTGGGTCGATATTTCGGACTAGAACATTATCTTGGGGCTTTTTTTTTGAGATCATAGAATAGTATCAAAAGGAAATACAGTGCATAGGATTTTCTATTTTAAAAATAACGGATGAAGTTTATAGTTTACTTGCTTAATAATTCAGCAATCGTGTTTAAAAATTTGTAAATGATTTAAAATGAAGTATGTAATAAATAGTTTGTAGATTAAAAAAATAACTTAGATTTTCGAGCTATATTTAAGAATAGTATAAAAAAATGATGACATTTATCTGAAGTATTTAAATACTTATTTATTTTGTCTGTTGTCTAGCCTTTTGTTCAAAATGAACTTTAAATAGAATCTATAGCGTTTATATATTTTTATAAGAAATCTCTGATGCTCATTTCAGTTTCTTTAAAAGCACAATAATCGACCCACCCATCTCCATCTATCCGGATCAAAGTTCACTTTGCTTTAACCGGCTGTCATTTCAATCATCGTCACTCATTTTTCGCCTATTTCGCCTGTGTCTAGCTACCCAATCCACTCAAGATTTCCATGGATAATAAGACGAGTGCTGCCGTGAGCGAGGTGAATGTCCAGACATTTTTCCACTCCAGACACTCCATTTTTCGCCAAACATACATATATAGCTAATAAGAACCACCGTTTCCTACCTCCAAGTCCTCATCGCCGGTCTGCTCTTCCACACAGATGGCCCAGAAGATTAAAGCCGGACCCGTCGTGGATGTCCTCGGTGACGAGATGACTCGCATCATCTGGGACTCCATCAAGAACAAGCTGATCCTGCCTTTCCTGGACATCGAACTGCACACCTACGATCTGGGTATCGAGTACCGCGACAAGACTGAGGACCAGGTGACGATTGACTGCGCCGAGGCCATCAAGAAGTATAACGTGGGCATCAAGTGCGCAACCATCACTCCCGACGAGAAGCGCGTGGAGGAGTTCAACCTGAAGAAGATGTGGAAGTCGCCCAACGGCACCATCCGTAACATTCTTGGCGGCACCGTCTTCCGGGAGGCCATTATCTGCAAGAATGTGCCCCGCCTCGTCACCGGCTGGCAGAAGCCCATTGTCATCGGTCGCCACGCCCATGCCGATCAGTACAAGGCTGTCGACTACGTGGTGCCTGGACCTGGCAAGCTCACCCTGACCTGGAAGGGCAATGATGGCCAGGTCATCGAGGAGGTGATCAACGACTTCAAGGGCGCCGGCGTCGCCCTGGGCATGTTCAACACGGACGCTTCCATCGTGGACTTTGCCCACGCCTCGTTCAAGTACGCACTGGACCGCAAGCTGCCGCTGTACATGAGCACCAAGAACACGATCCTGAAGAAGTACGATGGCCGCTTCAAGGACATCTTCGAGGACCTGTACAACAAGCAGTACAAGAAGGAATACGAGGCGGCGGGCATCTGGTATGAGCACCGCCTCATCGACGACATGGTTGCTTATGCCATGAAGTCGGAGGGTGGCTTCGTGTGGGCCTGCAAGAACTACGACGGTGATGTACAGTCGGACTCCGTCGCCCAGGGCTACGGCTCTCTGGGTCTGATGACCTCTGTGCTGCTGTGTCCCGACGGCAAGACCGTTGAGGCTGAGGCCGCTCACGGCACGGTGACGCGTCACTTCCGCTTCTACCAGCAGGGCAAGGAGACATCCACCAACCCCATCGCCTCGATCTTCGCCTGGACTCGTGGCCTGCTGCACCGCGCCAAGCTGGACGACAACGAGCCGCTGAGGCAGTTCGCCGAGACCTTGGAGCAGGTGTGCATCGACACCATCGAGGGTGGCGCCATGACCAAGGATCTGGCCATCTGCATCAAGGGCAGCATCAATGCTGTGGAGCGCAAGGACTACCAGGAGACGTTCGAGTTCATGGACACGCTGGCCAAGAACCTGGGCGCTGCCCTTGCCAAGAAAGCCGCCGCCGCCAAGTGACTATCCGGCGCTCAGTCCGAGCCGACGGCCTCGCACCTCTAGGGAGCCACTTAGCGACGCCTTGTCCTTGTCCCCATACACTACGATATTTCCATTTGTCTATGTAGCTGTGCATGTCCTAGGCTAACTGTGTTGTGTCCTCGATGCATGTATCACTGTTCATTGTCTCTGCGAGACGCAAAAACCCGAAACTATTTCCCCAAAACGTTTAAAACGGAAGAAAATTTTCAAATAAATGTATTTTTATACCGGACTCAAGAGGTCTTTAACCCAGTCGAAGCGAGGGTGGGCCCGACACGTTACGTGGACCGGCAGGCGGCCGGGCCACTTGTGCGGCTTCTTCTAGGTCCGGCCATTATTGGATTTGCCTTTTGCCAGCGATGTGGCGGCCACAGTCGTGCCACAACACTGAGCGGCGCCGCACACGGCGAATATTCAAGCGGATAGGGACCAAGATCCGGATCGGAGGCTTATACTATCCATGCTGGCCCATATCTTGGGCTATGGCTACCTTCTGGCCTATATCTTTTGCCTGTTCTGCTGGCACACACCTGGAGCAGCGTATCCTGCCAGCAACAGCTACCGGGACTTGGATATTTGCAATCACTGGGATGGACGACGGCACTTCCTTGAACTGGGCAGTCCACCTGGCGAGCTGCACGCCCGGAATGTGAGCTACACCGCCTATCGGGTGAGTGTGTAGGATTACTCTAGCAATGCTCACCAGGATCAGCATCCAACATTTTGCAGCAGAGCTCGCCGCTGGGCTTCAAGAACGATGCTGTGGCGGGGGATGTGTGGTATCAGTGCAGCCTGGAGCTGGTCACCTGTGCCGAGTGCGTCATCCGGGTGACATTCACCTATGCGAATTTCTCCAAGAGTTGCGGCAATACGGGCGGCAGCAAGTCCAGTATGTGTCCCTGCGAGCACATCCAGTTCTCGGAGCCCCCCTACGACTCTACCATTTCGGGACAGGAGTTCTGCGGCGACGGCAAGGTCTTCCGGAGCAAGACCAGGACGCTGCAGCTCAAGTTCTTTTACAGAGCCACCAATGCTCATGTCTTCTCACTGCAGTACTTCTCAGAGCGTAAGTTTGAAAGGATTGTATCAAGGAGATCACTTTGAGATATATACTATAATAGGTAACGTTCGGATAGTAAGTGGTTCCCCCAGGCAGTCCATTGTGGGCAGTGGAAATGCTAAGCACCTGCCACAAGTGATCTCCACGCCGTACTTTCCCATGCCCTATCCCCGGGACTATGGCATTGAGCATATCCTCACCTGTGAGGCTGACAACTGCCAGGTGCGACTGGACTTTACCGACTTCCAGCTGGGCCTGGCCTCTACTCTGGAGATATTTGACTCCAATGGTCAGATGTTGGACTCGTATACGGGTGAGCACTTCCGGCCACCAATCACGGTAAGCACCGGAAAGTCGCTACTGTTACAGTTCCGGGGGAATTCAGCCACCGGAGTGGGTTTTCGAGCCGAGGTGAGCTTTGTTTCATCCAAGCAGCTGAAGGACGAACGGCTGGTGCCATATACAGGTGAGTTATACACTGCCGACATTTAATTTCTAAGAGTTTTTATAGGAAAAGGGATTTAAAATCAATTGGAATTGTTTAGAAAAGTATGTAACACAACTTAGAATATGTTATCTCCAAATTAATAATATTTAAATTGCCACAAGGCAACAATAGTTACATTTACCTTCATAATTATATCTTCTTCCCAAATTTAAAATAAGAACGTAAGAGAAATTAATTGGTTGTATCCTATAATTTCACGTACTATATAGTGCGGTGTATCTTTAGTTTCTTTGTCTTTGAATAGTGACACGGGGATAATTGCGGGATTAGTTGGGCACTTGAAGGTCTGCAGGCAATTGTCATATTGATTTTGGCAGAGGAAATGGGCGGAAGGCTCGGACTCTTGACGAATATCAATGTCAATGCAAGGCGTTGAAGTGGAAACTGGGTGACTGTTGTGGGTAGGCCTGTTGAGTAAGACAATCGATTTCTTGGATCATTGCCCAAAGGGTTCTTTGTTTATATATAAGCTAAGAAAGGGGATGAGTGGGTTATGCATTGTTGGGGTAGGTTGGTTTAAATGTAACATGGATTCTAAATAGTTACATATGGGGGGTAGTTATGGAAGAATTGATTAAAACAGTTCTTTAAAAACATATTCATAGGAATTTTTAAATTAAATTAATCCCTTTCTTTTTCTCCTTACAGATTGCGGCGGAATGGTCACTGGTCCTGGGGGCGCCATCACCATGATGAACATGATCGAAAACGCCACGGATGTTCGGCTCTTCGACTGCATCTGGATCATTAAGCCCGGCAATAACTATATGATGATGAAGACCCATATCTCATTGCGAGTGGAGGACTTCTATGGCATGGCAGCTCGTTCTGAGCTGACCATCCGGCAGGGCACCACCTCCGATGCCGTGGAGATCGAGAACGTGATGTGGCCAAACAATGGACTGAGCAAAGAGAGCCACGTGGCGCCCATCCTGGCTGGCTACTACATTCGCCTGCGCGGTGTGTTTGGCATGTCCTCCAAGCTGGCCATCGTTTACAGCGTCTTCAACTATTTGAGTAAGTGTGCTGGGAGGGTCAAGGGATATCCACTAGTTCTTCTGTAAATGGAAGATATAAAGGGAATTCCTCAATTCAGATTGCTACATCGGTTCGGAGTTCTTGTGCGGAAACAACCACTGCATCTCGATCCGCCTGCACTGCGACGGCTTCGATCACTGCGGCGATGGCAGCGACGAGCCGGATTCCTGCGAGGAGGACTGGGCCCACCTGCATCACGACCGGCGTTGGTATTCCCACAAACCCAACTACTACTTCCCAAAGATGGACCAGTATCCCGATCTCAAGACGGCCACAGGCATCTTCATCATCAGCACGCTGGGCATTTTCGGTGTTCTCTCCGGCTGGATGGTGATCTTGTACAGGATGGGTGTGAGGGCGCGTCACCAACGGGAGCTGCAGAGCCACCTACAGACTATAAGTGAGCTGCTGGATCGCCAAGACGAAGATCGCACTCCCGATGAGCCGCCCAGCTACGAAGCTCCGCCTGACTATGAGGAGGTTATCAAGGTGGGAATGCAGCAAGAGCTGAGAGAGCCAAGGCGCCAGCGCCGCGCTCGTCGTCCGCCTCCACGGGATCGGAGCTGTAGTCGAGCCCCTAGTAACTGCACCATGCAGTCCGTGCTGCCGCTTCATCGCAGCTGCAGCTTGGACAGGGATCAAGAGCAGCCCAGTACCTCGGCTGCGGCGATGACCCACGCTGTGGCCGCCACGGACACCAATGAGGACGCGGAGCAGAGCCAGACAATGGCCCAACGGATGCTCCTGGCTACGGCCATTTGTGGTAGGTAGTTGTGGGTGCCGGAAACCCATTCCCCCGCTCCCACCTTGCAGTCGCTAACTTACCCACAGAGTCCCACTTACAGGCTCTGCAGGCTCGTCTCTCGCGGCAGCAAAGGACTCAGGTGTCCGCCTCCAATCCGTGGGGGTTTCAACGGGCCCAACACCGCTACCCGCTGGGGGTGAACTACCCGCAACCGGTGGGCCAGCCACGACGCCCGGTAGCACGGCGGATGAGTGCACCCAGGGAGTCGACGACTCCCTCAGCATTTCACTCACTCTAGGCCTGCCCTCCACGACGGCCGGCAGTTTGGTGACCTCCACCCAGAACCACAACCAGGAAAAGGACAAGGACCAGCAGATCGGCAGCAACTGTACGGAGCACACGTACCTGAAGCGATCGTGGTTGGTGGTCCAGCAGATGCCACCTGGAAGGGGCTACAGGGTCCAGCGGCTGCGGCATACTTTCTCTTCCCCAGAGGCTTTCACCGCTGATGAGCTGCATCTGCCATATCCGGACTTCCTGAGCTACGGCACCAATCTTCCCCACGAGAGGAGTAGCAGCAACTTTGGCTCGGATCTGTCGAGGGATCCTTCTAGCTACAGCGTGGGGAAGCGAGCGCGCTTGACTCTGGCAGAGGCAAGTGATTCCGCGGAAACCATAACCAGGGAGTCGGAGGAGCACTCCAACCAAACGCTCCAGTCCCACATGACAGTAGAGGAGACGCCAGCACCTCCGAATCACAGTGAAAGCGAGAGCGAGGCAGAGCAGCAAGTGTCCTGCTTTGGAGCCGTTGCCCAGCGACCCAAGCGTCGTCATCGAAGTCATGTACGAAGCCGATCCTTCAGCAATCCGGCGGCGGGTGGACGGAAACGCCTCATTCAGCGCAGCTCGTCGGCTGACCTGCTGATGAATTATGCTGCAATGGCTGTGTCCACGCCACAGAAAAGATCAGAGGGAATACAGCGGCTGTTCTTTATCTAAGGAAGTGGTAGTGGTAAGTGCGAGCATCGTGAAGGAACAGCCGAGTGGAACGATAGTATTAAAGCCTGGTGTGATTCTGGTCGGGATCTGGTCACAGTTATATAGATCTATTCCTAGTTTAAGTTGGTTTAATGTGCTGGAATTGGATTAGTACTTGTTAGTGATAAACTTAAAAATATTAAAGATGAATTATACAATTTTCAGTTGATATTTGAATATCACTTCCACCACAGTTAATCCAAGTTGAACTACCAAACAGGTCTTAGGATTTGTATTCTATATTATATATATAAATACCGCCCGAAGGGAATAAATAATTACGTTAATAATTAGCATTTTATTGATTACTTTTATTTCGGTTTAGCGTTATACGTGTAGCATTTACCACCAGTGCGCATCAAACTTTGGGAACTTGTGAGCTCCACTTGCTCCTAAACCTCGAAGATACAGTGTGACACGCACTGGCCAAGGACCTCATAACAACAAGATGAGTATTTTCCGATATTTACGCTCTCAACTTTGTGAAAGTCGCAAATACTTCCACATGACAATGAGCGTTACTATCTATATATTATAAGGTCCTTGCAATGGCTCTTTGGTGTGCCTCAAAGGTGCAAAATAATAATAAAAATTCGAATATTCGCTTATATATGGAAATCAAAATGCATTTGCTTATATAGATTTGTATATAGACGAATATGATGATAAATAATACCAAGGCATAGTCAATGCCGTAGGACTGTCTGCTATCCAGAGCCACCTACATCTCTCTATTACTGATCCTACTGCTGAAGCTGCTGCTTGAGATTCTCAGCCAGGGACTTGCCCGTGTCCAGTGGCACTACAATATTCCGCAGGCTGTCGATACTATTGCGCAGCTTGGTGGCCTGGAATTTAGGGGGCAACTTCGGCGAACCGCCTACAGAGGCAAAAGCGAAGGTCTTGTACTCCTGTGCAGCCGTTCAGGGATCAAAAGAATCGGATTTAGTATGCTATATATATATATATACATATTGGGCTTGGTTTTATTTTTGCAACAGAAATATAAAAATATCAATAATAATAATAAGAAAACAATGTTCAGGCGCTAACAGAAACGGCAGGCAGGGTCAATGTTCGGGTGGAAAGAGTCAACTAAATAAAGGTTCGATATGTATGTCATGGTGAAAGTCTGAGGTGTGGGATGCGCGCGTATATAAATTAAACAATGATAAGCAATGCTTGGCTATTCCTCGAGCTTAATTCTCAGCCCCCTTTCTAGGGAATAACCAGAACTTAATTATAGAAAACTAAAAATATGGTCACAAACTGCAAGTCAAGCTGTTATCCTCTAGGTTACCTGATTGCCGCTGGGGGAGCTGGCCTCGCTGAGTGTCGTGGGTGCCTGCCCCATGTAGGACTGGAATGTGGGCCCACTGCCATTGTCCCGATGGCCGCCACTACGAGTAGTTACCTTCTCCTGGAGGGAATTGAAGGTCTTGGATAGCCATGGTTGCCAGCTGTTGCGGTTGTTGGTCTGCAGTTCGCTGATTGTGTTGCTCAGCTGATGGTTGAGGTCCTGGTTCTTGCACTCCGCCTCCACTTGGGCCAGCTTGGCCTGCGCCAGCTCCAGCTCCAGTTCGCGAATGCGCTGCGAGGCGGCGTTCAGCGGATCGAGCGGTCCCAGCGGCGGCTCATTGGCATTACGCATGGCATCCGTTTGCCGCATGGAACTAAAGCCATCCGAAGACCTAGCGTTGTCATTACCGCCGTCGATTTGCTGCAGGCAATTCTGACATTTGGAAACCGTGTGCTGAAGGAGAAAGTATGCTTTAAAAAGCTGTTCTTCTTTAGTTTTTTCCTTTACTTACCATCACCTTGCCCAGCGTTTCGCTGAGTGTATTCATATCCTGCTCCTGGCGTTGAATGATCTGCTTGTACTCCTGTATGATGCCCGTGTGCTTCTTCTCCTTCTCCACGGCTCGTTCCTTGGCGGTCGAAAGCTGCTGGGCGAGAGCCTCAATCTCCGCCTGCAGCTTGCGCCGCTCCTCTCCGAAGCGACTTTCGTAGATCTGCGCCTCCTTCTCCAGACGCTCCTTGTGCTGCTTTTTTAGCAGGAACTCCTCCTCGTACTGCTTAAGCTTCTTGATCTTTCGCTCGCAGGATTGCTTCATCACTTTGCGGGCCTGGCTGGAGCTGCGGCACTTCTTAGGCAAAGTCACACGAAAGTACTTAAGAATGCCCTCAAAATCCAGCTGCCGCAGATCCGACTCGCAGATGGACAGTAGAGTCACAGCCACCTGAAAGAGCACAGGCAAGCCGTCCAAAAGGAACACGTCCAGCACGTGAAACACAAAGCAAAGCGGGAACCGAGCTGTGTACAGGGTGAGGAACCACTGGGAGGCGTACATGTGCGTCTCAATACCGCAGGCCGTAAAGTGCTCGTGCAGCTTGGGTAGCTGGTCCTTAATCAAGCGTTCCAGCTGATAGAGGCGCAGGTAGAGGACTTCGAAGCCGGCCTTGTACAGATCACGCAACCCGTAGTCGTACATGAGGGCAACCAGAACACAGAAAGCATCCTCCTCGGGCATCTGCAAAGAAATTCGTGTTACATAAGCCTAACATAATTAGGAAACTCTTAACTTACGTGGAGAAGCAGACTGGCGGCAATGAAACTAAGGCCCTGACAATATCCAACCTCGCTGTCATGCACTGCATAGGCTTTGGACACCTTGAAAAGGGCATCCTGACCCGAACCGCCCGTCTCCTTGAAGCATTTGTGCGCCGGGAAAGTACGATGGATGTCCCGCTGAATGACTGTCTCGCATTTGGTTTCCTTCAAGTACATTTCAAATTACAGCTTAAGCTTTTTTTTAGACGGCTTTAACCACTAACCTTGGTGATGAGAATCTTGTACATATCGTTCATCTCCAGCTTGCCCTCCACATTCGCCAGCTTCTGCCAGATTTTCTCTCGCAACGCCTCCGGCACACCCAGGCGGACCAGGGGAGCCAGGTTCTTGGGTCTCTTCTCGCCATCCCACTCACGCAGAATGGGATCCCACTCGTCCAAGGTGTCCTGCGAGCAATCCTTGGATACCTCACCCGTGCCACTGAGCAGCGGCTCATCCCCATCGCTGCTATAGTCCGTGGGGCAATCATCCTCGATGGAGGCTATGGACGAGCTACGCACAATGCGCGAGAGGTTATTCATGCCAAGCTTTAGCAAGGAGGAGGAGCTCTGCTGGTTGCCAGCTGGGTGTTCGGTGATCTCCTCTGAGGGATCGATGCTGTTCACCTTCCAGTTAGACTCGTCGGTGCGCTTGAGGTGCAAGTAAAATCGCAGCGTCATTGGGCGTTTGGACATGAAGTGGTCCATGATGCGCATCTCGCTGGCCGACTGAATGGTCACTGGAGTCTCGATGACGAATCGAACGGGTTCCTGGATGCGGCGCATGACGATATCGACGGCCACGGTGAGATTGGTCTTGGGCGACTCAAGGTTCAGTTGCTCGAAAGCCTTCTCCTGGGCCTTCCACTCCGCCCGAATGGCGTAAGGCAGCGATGAGTTCTGCTGCGAGTTGCTGTCTGCCTCGGCAGTAACACTGCCAGTTCCTGCTGTTGGCAAAACGTATCCCATGCTATGCATGTCGATTAGATGCATATCCTTCTGGACCACCAACTTTCCGGGGGCCACCAGAACGCCAAAGCAGCGCTCGATATGCAATGGCTGGAGGATATTCGAAGGAGTCTGCTTGACTGTGATGCACACTTCCTTATCCGTATTGGCCCGCAGCTTGAAACATCCCCGATCCCGGGGAACGGCGGCATACGAATTCTTGGCTACCCTTTCCCGTATCTCCAGCGAGACGATAAATTCGTACCCGGCCGTATTCAAGGGATTGCCGCTGACGTCCGACGTTACAGAGTTGGCCATGTCCACGGCCGAGTTGAGGCTGCAACTCATGCTGGGCGGATACGTCTGAAATGCCTTCTGGAAGCAGGCTGCGATCGGCGAGTTTAAAATAAATCAATGAAATCACAATTAAGCGATGCTGCCATGCTCTGACTCACCGCTGACTTGGTTGACCGCCTCGGGAATATGGCAACGGAAAACATGGCACTGGAACAGCGCATCGCCGTGCAGCCACGTGAAAGCGAAGCAACCATTCTCGACCGTGTCCACGGGTCCTCGATAGTACAATATGATGCTGGATATCTCGTAGGTGGCAATAATTGTATTGCTCTCCGCGTCGTGCAGGCTGCAAGAGGAATGAGGCTCTCTGGTGAGTCACTCAAAGGCATTTTCAAGATTTACTCACACCACCAAGCCATCTGAGCAATTGGGAATGCTGACGGTGATCTTGAGACCCACCGATTTGGAGCCACTGTTTAGCTCGCACATGATGCGATAAACCTCGCCTTCGGACTTGGGAGCATTGATGTTGGCAGCGCCCAGGTAGGTGACTCCGGAGAATATGGTGCAGCCCTGATCGATCTCTGAAACTGTGCCACAAAAAAGCAAATTTAATTCTGGGTAGCTTGAGTAGGCTTTAAGATCTTTGTTTGCCTGAGATATTTATCCGGAAATACCTGCCCTAAGCTCTGTGCCAACTCACCCTCCTCGTCTGTGGTGTCGCCCGGCTTTTCCGGCTTCATGGCATCCTGCTTCTCCTCCACGCAAGCGGGACTCGCATCGATGCAGTCGTAGAACACCGAATGGCCCACTCTGTTCGAGCTGGACGCATCGTCCAGTGTCTCCTCGCTCTTGGGCGAGAACAGGGTGCATGGGAAACGCATCTCCGGATCGACAGACCTACTGCTGGAGCCTGTTAATGGCAAGGTCAGGGACTTTTGCTGGTGCTGGTGACTTGGGAGACGTGATTGCGAGCAGCTCTTCTCCCCAGCGGTTGTGGCTGCAAGCAAATATGTTAATTGACAATTGCCCGTCCGATAAAAAGAAACAAATTGAACGGAATTCAGTCAAAGTGTGCGTATGTGCACAGTGTGGAAAGTGTTATGGGGCTTGTTTGTCGATTGTTTCCATGACAGCGCAGCAGTAATAGCACTGAGGCTCTGCCAGATAAGATTGCAGCTGGCGGGCTTAGTAGCTAATAGTTGTATCGAATGGCGTTACGGCTTCCACAGTTCGGAGCGTTGTTCTCACCCGCTCTGCTGTGGCCGATGTGTGCACAGCTGGCGACTGAGCACTTCTTGAAGTGGTTGCTCCGGCCCTATGTTTTTAGTTTACTTCGCAGTGTACTCACCCACGCCACGCTCCAGTTCCAGATCTCTCAGCGCGTCCGTCATCTCGTGCTCCATGTCGCTCAGGTTGCGATTGTGAGCCATGTCCAGTGTGGGCGACCGATCGCCACCGCCCTCCGGCGAGGACAAAGCCAAAGCACTAAGCGAAGTGGGCGGCTTCTTGACCTGATTATCCATCTTCGAATCCTGACTGATTACTCTTCGATTCGGTCCGTGCTCTGTGGGACTGGCCACATTGCTGTCCGTGACTATTTCATACTCGCCGCTGGTCGTTATCGAGGACTCGGAGCTCTTGGTGCTTAGATTATCATCCATCCTGACACTCAAGGTTGCTGTAGGTCCGGTCTTTTCTTTGTTTCGTTAAGTAGACCGATGTTTTCTGTTGACTTATGCCTATTTCCCTTCCCAAGCGCCTAGGTATTGCGCATTTTCGGGGCAAAACACACAGAAATCAGTTATTTACGCTTCTTTTAGATTACAAACAGAGAGGGGGTTTCGGGGTTTTCAATTTGTCCAATTTTCAGCGGAGTCGCATTGTTGTTTGGCTTTGGCTCCGCCGTAAATCGATGACGAATCGGGACAGTTTGGTTGGGTATTTGGGGGCGTTGATTGCGCCGCACACACACGCGCATGTATGTCACACAGTGCCCACTTTCCGCGGGGGCAGTGGGGCAGTGTTGGGGTGGTTGTGGCGCTGACGGTGGGGTCGGCGGGGTCAACAGTTTGCTGCCAATGCGATTGTGATCGGATATCTATGGATTTTTCATTCACTGGCGCAGCTGCAACTGCTTTTTCAGAGCACTTCAGTTCTTATATTTTGGTCGGCACACCGCGTCACTTATTTCATTATCGTAATCTCGTTTTATTAGGGTTTTCAAGGTTTTTTTATGCGAAACTTCTGCAATTTTCCCTCTGTTTTGTTTACATATTTTTTTGTCAGTGTTGGTTAGCACAAGGGACGAACTTAGGGCTGGTTATCGATAACAGCAACAGCTGTCAGGCGTTACGCAGTACTCCTGCTTCAAGTGTTAGAAAACACCTGTTGTTTAAGGATAGATTCGATAGCTTGAAACTTCATAAACATTACACATATTTTAAAATACGGTGTATTCTCGGAAAATTATATTATTTTATAAAATAAAATTTATTTACATTTATTAATATATCTTATTGAATGCTCGCTGAATTGTGGTTCGCATTTATTTTCTACTTCTACTAAATATAGGAACACTTTAAATAACACCATATATTGATATTGAAAAAATATCATGAAGAACTTCTATAGTTATCTTAAGAAAGCTAAATACAAATTTGAACTCGATTTATAGAGATATCGAGTCTCTGTCATCTCTCGATACCACTCCAGGTACTTGCCAACACTGCCTTATAACACTACCGCGCGTGCAGGAAAAAACGTGCGTGTTTCTATTTGTATAATTATTCCTAAATTCCTGGTATTCCTGCTACCGAGACATACCCCCCAACAATGTGGCCGCGATTTGGCATCAAGATTGGCAACAGCACGTTGTGCATCGCCCACGTGCGCGCTGACGGAAAGGCCGAGGTGATCGCCAACAAGCAGGGTGACCGTGTGTCTCAAGCCTGCCTGCTCTGGGACGGCGTCTCAGAGATCGAGTGTGGTCTGACGGCCAAGCAGAAGATGGCGACAAGGCCGCGACAGGCGGTGGCACACAGCTTCCAGCTCCTACAGCCCAAGGAGCAGATTACCGAAGAAAAGCTGACGAGCGCGCTAAAGGAAATCCCATGTGACTTTGACAAGGAGGAGCTAGTGTTCCGCATGGAGCACACTGTGCCGTCTGAAAAGGAGGACCAGGACGACCGGGTTGTGACCAAGGACCTTAGCGCATATCAGGTGACGGTGGAACTGCTCCGCGCCGAACTCGAGCTGGCCCACCAATACCACACGGACGGAGATCAAGCGCCCATCGCGGTTCTATCCATACCCAGCTACTATCCCGCCCCGGCCTTTAAACTGTTAGCAGATGCCGCCCAATCCGCTGGTTTCCATGTGGCCCAGATTATTGCCGAACCCACGGCCGCTGTTTTGGGCTACCGGATCGGCGAGGAACAGCCAGAGCAGCGCCGTCATGTGCTCACTATCAAGTGTGGCGGCCTGTACAGCGACTTTGTCTTCTATGCCGTCCAGAACGGACTCTTTGTTCAGCTGGCCACTTTCGGACCCTTTCCTATCGGTGGCCGCCAGTTCACCGAGGCCCTGGTGCAGTTTATCTGCGAGGAGTTCCGCCGCAAGTACAAGCTGGATCCGCACGAGTCGCGCCGCTCTTTAGCCAAGATCCGCACTGCCGCCGCCAATTGCAAACACATCCTGACCACGCTGCCCTCCACGCAGCTGTACATTGACTCGCTGATGGACGGCGTTGACTTCAACGCTCAGATGTCGCGCGCCCGTTTCGAAAGCCTTATCCAGCCGGTGATCAACAACCTCATACAGCAGCTGGGCGAATGTGTGGAGCAGGCGCAAAAGGAACATACTGGCCTAAGTATCATTGACGACATTGTGCTGTTGGGTGCCACCATGCAGATCCCTAAGCTACAGGCGGCGGTAGGAGCCCGCTTTCCCGACGCCAAGCTGCACAACAGTCACTTGGCGGACGAGGTGGTGGCCATCGGCTGCGCGCTTCAGGCCGTGTGTCTGCTTGATCCGCTCGAGCAGCAGCTGCATAAGGAGGATGACTGTGTAGTGGCCGAAGATGATTTGTACATCTGGCATGGAAACGATGAGGCCAATGCCAAGTTAGTCCTCGGCAGGGGCAGTGTTTTGCCGGCCAAGATACGGATATCTTTGCCGCAATCAAATGAAGGACAGGGCGATAATGGAGATGCTGCGGCGTCCTTCAAGCTGCGCGCCGGCGAGAGCGAGATTTTGGCAAGCCTGCCCGATAGCACGACGCCAGAGGATGGACTCTACCAGCTGGAAGTGGAGGTGGATATCGACGACAAGGACAACCAAGGCAACGTGGTGCCTCTAGTGCGATTGCGCTGCATGTGAGAGCCGGACTTGGATCCGGAGAAAAAGCGCCATTGCCTAGTCTATTTATTGTTGCTAGCCTAATGATTATAATACAAAAACACAAAATAAAGATAAAGCTGCAATTGACGATCTACTAATTGAGTTTTATATACTACTTAAATGGAAATCCAAGGTTTGGGTGTTATACCGAATTCCTCTTGAAAATGATAATAGAAAGTTCAACTGATAATATTATTTTTTATTTTCATTTCTTATAAATAGTCTTCTTAATTTCGACATTAATTAAAAAATGTAATCAAAACTGCAGACTGGCTGCTTTGTGGCTGCGCTCCAGCTTGCGCAGGAACTCCTCGAAGACCACCACACCCTTGAACATGCTGGTCTTCTTGTGATCCTTGATCCGGCTCTTGTCCTCCGGCGCCTCCATATAGCTCTTGCTCTTGTCGTCAAAAGCATTGATCTCGTGGAGCAGCTGGGTGATCGTGGGCACCGTGGTGGGATCAAACTTGGCCACAGCGCTAACGCTGAAGGGGACGCAGACCTTGCCCGTGGAGGGATGGATGCAAAATGGGGCTTTCAGCAAATGGTTAAAACCCCTAGTGACATTGATGTCCAATCGTGGATAGAGCAGTCCGAGCTGCACTTCCTGTACTATGTTCTTGAGCTTTCGGCTCCAGGCACTGGCAGTGGAGGTTTTCATAGAATTGGAGTACTTTAGAAAGCTCTCCCACACGAGCCGAGAGTGGGCGCCGTCCTCTAGGCTCTTTTGCAGATAGGACTCAAGCTCGCCACGGGCTGCATCGTCGGACACCATTTGGAGTAGCTTGGTAACCCCTTTGGGTGTGCCAAAGAGATTCTGATCCTTCAGAATGATCTCCTCGAACATGGGCTCCACGATCTTAAGGGCTCGCTTCAGGCTGTGATGCGTTCGATCTCCCATCGGGCATCTGGGCGAGTTTTGGCCCGCAAAACTCACATAGGAGATGGGGTTCAGGTACTCCGCAACGGCGTAGCGACCGCGTCCATCGAGATGTCTCGCCTGGTGATCACATACCCAACAATGGATGCCTCGCCGACCGGAGAAGACCCAGAGTATATGCTCAAAGCCGAAATCCTCGCGCAAAGCAACATCCAGAACCCTGGCGGCCAACACCATGAACTTCCAGCACTTCTGGCACACTTCAGCCTCGGAGCAGCAGGTGCGCACCGGATCGTAGTCCGTCATATCGATATCGAAGACAAGCTCTCGTTGAACCGGATTCAGTCCGCCAGGAACGGTACGAATATTCTTGGGTCTGGTATGCATCACGGGCCCAATGTCCATCTTGACGGGCAGCTTCAAGCAAATCTCTTTCTCAAACTCCGCCTGGGTCTCAAAGCACAAGTATCGCAAGTAGATATCGTCGTGGAGAGTAAACGAAATCTCACGGTTGCAGAATATGCCGTCCTCAGCTGAAGTAGGAATATATAATATAAGAGTGTCATTGAAAACGGAAGGGTAAACTTACTCAGTCCATAGGAGAGCCAGCGATAGAAGGGCATATGAGGAAAAAGTCGCCTGTAGTAAACGGGCAACATATCCATCAGCATTTCCCGATTATATGCTGGCACTGCCACCGCCTCCACCTGTTGCTGGGGAACCTGGTTTTCCTGATCTGATTTTTCCTCAGGCATTTTTAGTGACTAAAAATAAAAATGTTAGGTTAGTACTCATTCTGATAAATCAAATTAAATTAATTACGATCGAGATCTTATGATTCGTATATTTCACCAAGAAGTCCCAGGTTAATCAAAGGCATTCAAACTTCTTGTCGAAACCTTATATTTATATATTTTTTTGTTTGATTTTTTCTTTTTCAAAGAGAGATACACGATTGGAGCTTACGAGTTACTGAAATATATATTAACGACATGCAATTGTTAAAAGTACGAGGCTAATTAATTGTCAGTTATGGGTCGAAACAAATTGCATCGCATCGAGCTAACACAATGGAATACCGCTGAATGAACCTGGTCAGAGAGTTCGTCCGATGATTGGCTTAGCTTACGATAGAAATATCTACGTGTATGTATATATATATATTACTATATAATATGTGTCTACTTTACGCCTAGGTTAGATCATCTTTTGTGATAGCTTAAAGATTAGAACACGAAGGGCGGCGTCCCCTTGGCATCAGCATCATGGAGCGGCAAAGGAGACCCAGCTAAATTTTCGCCTTTAGGCCACTGTCAGGCGGATGTCCTGCATCTTGTGCTGCTGCCAGGACTGTGCCGGCTGCCTTGGCGGTGCTGTATTGTACAGCGTCACCGAGGCAATGTGACTATTGGGCATCACCTCGAAGATCAGGTCCTGATAGCCATAGCAGAAGGTTGAGCCGAACGGATTCGCTGTGTTGGTCGAGCTGGCCCGATGCAACACCACTGGCCGTTCCGAGGTGGCCAGCGATCCGCTGATTTCGTCCCACTTGGTGTAAGCGCTTATGTTCACGTGATCTTGCTTCGTCGGCGTCACCAGCGCGTGGCCACTGTCGCTCATGGACGGGTGATCCGCCTGCAGCAGGAACTGGAACTCACAGCGATGGTACATGTTGAAATTGAAGTGGCCCGGATAGTTCGTATGCAGGATGAACTTCTTGCAGGTCTGTGTCCTGGCATCAAACAGCACATCGATGCCTAGGGTGAAATAGTTGAAGAAGATATCGCTCCGCTTGCTCTGCGCCTGCCGATTTACACTCGAGCTATGGATCTTCATCTTATCCTCGCTCTTGAAGAATATACGATTGGGGGCGCCCAAGCTGGTAGCCACGTCTTCGCAGCTGTCGCCGAAGAGCAGCTCCCGCGTGAAGCACTGTCGGCGTGGCTCCAATGCCCGGCCGGAGCCCTCTGTGAAAAGCTTCAGCTTCAGGCCCTTGGTGTGTCCAAAGGAGGTTCGGAGGACGCTGGCCGATTCCAAGTACATTTGTCGGTGATAGCAGGTTAGCGGCAGCGACGGCGCTCTATTTTCGGCCACATTGCTGCCCGCGTAAAGCGACATCTTGGAGACCACGGGAGAGGCGCCGTTCAGGAAGACCAGGGAGCCAAGTCCGTGGGCGTAGCCCGAGTGCAGTTTGCTGTCCACAGGAAAGTAGAAACTCAGCCCGCGGAAGTGCAGGGCAAAGAGCTGCTTGGCCGCATCGTAGACGCCTGGATGCGTGGCTCCGAACGAGTGCTCGATCTGCTCGATACTGGGCAGGACTTCAGGTGAGTTGAAGTAGACGCCGCCATAGCGCAGCTTCACCAGCTTCATGTTGAACACCTCGATTGTCTTAAGACGCTGCACCACCGGATCAAAGATCAGGCGGACGCCGTCCTGTGGCAGGTTGATGATGATGTCCACGCCTAGGGGATTCGTGTCCGAGTACAGAACCTGTACGCCCTTAATGATCCCCACCTGCGACTGGATAATGGCGATGGCCTGCGAGAAGTGCATCCCCAGGACAAACTCCCAGGCGTCGCAGCCCAGCGAGTTCTCCGGCAGGATCTCTAAGTCGAGCATCGTCCTTCCTCCTGCTGTTGGAACGATCGCAGATTGTTATTATATGCTTGCGCCTGCGAATATCGTCACCTACTGACCTTGATTTGTGAAATCAGCTGCAGAATGCGAATATATTCAAGCGAATATATGCGCACTTGGTTGCCAGGTAAATAGTACTACTTATTTCAGGCACTTTCTGTTTCTTTTTCTTTATACAATTGTTTGGTCTTTGTCTGCTGGTTTTCGTGGATGATTTTTTCCGTTCTCTTTACGAAATTATGCAACACAAGTGAATTTGCTTTGTTTGTGGGTCTTTAGCAACTTTTCGTGCCCTTTGGCGTAGCGTTTAGTTGTTTTCTTCTACAGTTTCGGACAAAGGCGAAATGCGCAGCAGAAAAAATGAGATAATAACAAAGTGGCGGCGTTGCCGGATCGTCCACGGCAGCTGATTTGCGAAATTGCAAAACAATCGGGGTGTGGTTACAAAACTAACTTAAAATATTTAATTACATGCTAAACGCTCTTAAATGGTTAATTCATTACTTAAATAAAATATTTAAACTATTTTGGCAAATCCTCTATTGCTCAATTACTTTGCTGCAGCTGGCAACGCTGCCAGGGTAAGCAACAGCTGATGCGTTATTTTTCGCGCGCTTTTTGTGGGATGGTACAATGGGTATTTTACACTTACTTTTTGTATTTGTCAGGAATATTTTGCTTGAACCTTCAATTTCTTGAGGTTTCCTGGTGAATAAGGCCTTCTTTTAAACACTTTTTGCCTTTTAATTATGTTTAATCGAGGAGAATACTGATTGTTTGTCGCACACCACTTGGCACCGTGCCTGTAAATAACAACTGTTTTGTGACTACTACCAACACTATTCTCCCGCCAGTTACCAACACTGAAAAGATATTTGGAATTGTATGGAATTTGTTTTGTTTATATTCTTAATACAGCCCACTGTTACCTTAACACTATAAAAGACATACATATAAAACCATCACTTGGACAACACACTAAACTATTAAACACTTTGGACCCCATTTTCTGGACACGTTGCCCCACATATGGGGCAGCAGAAACTGGCATCCGTTAAGACATTGGCGCTCAGGCAGTAATAACAATAGATGTGGCCACAGCCCATGTGGTGGGGCAGCGTGGGACGCTCCCCACAGAAGGTGCAGGTGGTGCTAGCCGTCATCTTCGGTGCCAGGAGCTCCACGCCACCTTCTCTGTCCTCCAATCGTCGACCAGTTAACTGCTTGCCGAAGGCCCAGGACTTGAGCACCCTTTGCAGCTTGCGGAAATTTATAATGGGCAGCACAAGCCCAAGGATTTCCTGTACAGATCAAAGGGATTATAAGAGACACAACCAAAATAACGTTAGACTCACCATAAATCCTCCCCAGAGAAGCTCACGCGTCAGGTACTTATAACCGATGTCTCTCCTCTGGTTATTTCTCAGACTAATATAATCTAGGCCCAGTAGGTAGTCTACCAACGTGGGTTTCCGGCCTGTCTTCAGAAACCGAAAGTAGTTGAGGATGTTTAGAACCAGGGCACTGTTCTCCGCCCAAGTAATCGCCTGGCTGAACCACTCTACTCTCCTGGTAAGTCGCCTCTCTTCCCAGCTTTTTACGTAGCCAGGCAGGACGGTTAGGGCGAAGTGGAGCACTAGCCGGGATACGGTTAGCTTCTCGGCATCGTAGGCAAGGACCAGCAGCTGCTGGCCAAAGGTGGAGCAGCGCTTGCCAACGGAACCAAACCAAATGGCCGACTGGATGAGCAAATCGAGCTCCGGTTGGATTTTGATGAACAGAACGGGCTAGAAATATGTATAGCATTAGTAAAACTTCCGAGGATATCTAAATAAAATGCTTACCGATAAGGCCTGTAGGTTCTCCAGCAGACTATCGCGAATCAGGCGGGTAATGTCCTTGTTCAGATAAATGGCATCTATCTGAAAGTTAAACAAATTCCAATTTTACAGTTTAAAGTAATCAATTTTTAAATTTTAAGCTCACCTGATTAACACGCGGAACGTATTTATTTTTTTCTACCATTTTGTTTATATTTCGGCCTTTAGCTACCTATTCATTTGGATCGTTTTTTATTTATCTGTACTCTGCCCTCTCTTATCAACAATGTGCAGCTGTATAGGGTTGTCGAGTGTACAAAATGGAAACAAATTGCAGGGTAAACACGAAAAATCGCCGGTAAAACAAGAAATTGGTTGATGTAATTAATTACGGGCTTTTCAAAACATTTATTTATATTAATTATTATTAATATGGCATGGCAGTAAAATTGCTTTGTATATTTTTTAGTTATCGATATTTTGGAATAGTGTTGGTAATCGAAGAAATAGCGAAGGCGCATATGTTTAAATTTCCAGGAAAATAAAATCATTTGCTTTTTAATTTATTAGCAATAAAAAAATTGCTAATGTATCAAATCACGCCACAGGTTTCTACAACTCCTGTATTGGACATTTAGGAAGCATTTTCGTGCAACTTTTCAAATCGGACTTATGCAATTTCAGTCAAAACAAAACGAAACGAGGCGGCGTACAACTTGTTTGGGAGCCGGAAAATATATCTAACTATGTCTTGCAATCGCCTTTATTGCCGTTAACGTCTTGAAACGCACAAACCAGTTGGTCAAGCCCGACATTTTAGCCATTTTGTTGAGGAGTACAAGTTCAATGATTGGCCCCGGCTGCTGCAAATTATGGTCAGTGGTCGGGTGAGTTGTGATTTTATAAAAAGTACATAATTCACACTTTATTACACAATTTACAATTCGTTCGTTCGATCTCTGTAACAAGTTATACATTTTACGAGAAGACATATAGTATACATTACAGATAACAGATTACAGTTTATAGTTTATAGATTATAGATTACAGTTTAAAGATTGGTAAATTCGTCTGAGCAGGTAGTGATGACTAAGGATGAGTTGAAAGCGGAAGATACACGTAGAAGTTATTCGCTATCACAGAATAAAATACAATATACAAAATGTTAATGAAGTGAGCATGGCCACGGGGGAGGTCCCGAAGTCTAGTGAAGGTCCCGCCCCGAATGGTCCGTGGCATGTGTGTGTTTGCTGATGTCCTAATTACGAGATATGAAGCTGATTCCATGGTCGATCGATGTGGATCCTCATAATCCTCTCCGTCTACTTCTCCTTCTCCTATATTTCGTCCTTCTCCTCCTCAGGCTGATGAGTAATTTGGCTAACTCTAGTGAGCAGTGATTCCCTCCTTAGTAGTGATGATCGTGGATTTCCTCATGGTGGTGCACTGGGGCAGTCTTGTGAACCACGGCGTTGAAGCCATTGTGCTTGTCGGCGGTGTAGTCCACGGTGCGAATAGAACCATCGGGCTCAACCAGAGAGTACTGGCCCTTGACGGTGTCACCGTCGCGGGTCTCGTGCTGGGACTTTACATCTCCGGTGTGGAAGTCATTGACTCCGTACTTGAAGGCGTACTTGGGAGGGGCCTGTAAGAAATGGTTAATATTATTTAAAATCGGAGATTATTATTGTAAACCTTTCAAGTATTTTACAAAAACTTTTTTTAAGTTTTATATAGAATATCTCTCTGTTTTTTACTGATTGTCAAACCATAAAGCTAAAAGAAATATATGAATGAAGTAATCCGCCAATAAGAAGATTTAAATTTAAACTTAATTAAGTCTAATTATATTCAAAATATTTTGAATATTTTTAAAGCTCATTGACTTAATATTATGCAACCTGTTCTGAATAATTTTCAGTCATTATTTTCCAACTCACATAGTAGTCCACATGTTCGTCATGCCCCTCATGCTCGTGGGTCTCGTAGTGAGGCTGCTCATGATGCACATGCTCGATCTGGTGGTGTCCATGGTCTTCGCCCAGAGAGATACGTTCGAGCTGGTGATGACCGTACTCGTGAATTGGCTCTGCCTCATGGTGGGCCAGGTGCTCGTAGCCATGGCTCTCCTCGTAGTACTGGTGCTCCAGCGGATAGGCCAGACTCAGGCACAGGGCCGAGGCGAAGATCAGATACTGGAAGATGAAAAAGGCAGGTGCATAATTAACAAGAGGAGCCCAGACTGAAAACATAGGTCCCAAGACCCCAGAGATCAGAGCCTATAGCCTGTAGCCCGGCTAATTGTTTCCGTTAACGAAGTGGAGGCGAGTGGCGACTGCTGCAATTAGCGGTGGCCAATTCGTGTGGGTGTAAGAGCTCGAGGGGATCGGGAATGAAGCTATCCATGTAGTGCCTGCATTTAAGCTAAATACTTGAGGTTTTCCTCTGGCAGAGCCTAATGAATTCGTAATGAATTCCTATTTGCTGTGGTCGACTGCTTTTATTGTTTGGCTTTACATTTAGTGGTTACTTTGTGGTTTTCTCGCAGCCTGCAAATAAGTTGGTTAGCTTAGAGGGAGTACGGTTAGCTAATGTAAATGTTTAAGCTGGCCTTTTGTTAACTTAATAAACTAACTAACTAAAAAGATTAATCTAGTCTAACATTTGCATTCGGTTTTGTGGTTTTTGTTGTTAAATACTTTGTAAAGGTTTCTGTATCCTTTTCAAAGGGTATTGTTATTTAAAAGGAAATAAATGTATTTATTTGGGCAGCTAGAAAGCCCATATAAAGCCCATAGTAAGTGACTCCTTTTATTGAAAATTTCCATATTTAAACACTCTTTAAAACACATCCTGAAGCTAATATCCTTTTGCAAGCACTTTTTTCCAACTATATTTCTTTACTAATTCACTGTTTCACTGATAGCTTTGGCATGTCCTTTAAGGATATTTTTGTTACAGTTCATTGTTCACACTGAGGATGCGATATCCTTAATCCTTGGCTGCTGCTGCTTCACCTCACCTTGAAGGCCATTTTAGTTTGAATTAATTTAGTTCGCGCTTTGTTTGGAGATCACAAAACAAAAGGTAGCTGTAGGAAGACTGCACGCAACGACTTTCCACCACTGAATAATGTGCTTGCAACGAAAATGTGCGGCTTTTATATGTTAGGAAGAAAGTGAATCGACTGCCAGCAGTGGTGGTGGTTCGCTCGATTGGTGGATCGGTGGATCGACGGTGGTTCAAGCAGCGGCGGCTACGGCGGTGGTTCGGGCAGCGACGCTGCCGTCTCTGGTGAGCGGAGCGTCTTTTGAGCCAAATGTAAAACAGTTCAGGCCTCGCTGTTTGCCATTGTTTGGGGTTTGATGTTTGCTGCCGAATGCACTCAAAAGAAAACTTAAAAGGATGTTGGAAAAATGAGCTATTACATTTAGAATTTCATAAAATATAACAAAAGAAACTAATCATCCTTAAGCGTAGTAATCAGCTTAAAAATTCTTTTCAAAACCTATTTCCCAAAGTTTGAATTCTCGATTTTCAAGCCCATTTTCTTTCAATTTAAGACATCCCTTTTCCTTAGCCTTTTTTTTTTTGCTCAGTGCCTCTTGTCCCAGGACTCTTTGTGTGTCATTAGTGACGCATGCGATGGCGTTGATAAGTCGTCATCGGCGCTGTTGATCGGCAGTTGCAGTTGCAAGTTGCAACATTGCCCCGCTCCGTTCCGGCGTTTGTTAATAATATTTTTTGGAATTTTCGTTTTGGCCAACTCTCAGCCTATTTGCATTGCAACGCCATAGCTCCGTGGAGCCGCTGCTCTGCAAGTACACTCATTAAACGCAGTTTGACCCAAATTTTCGGCCTGATGATTTCTTTCGTGGCTGCTGCTGGGCAAAGCTTTGGTTTCTTTTTCGGGGCAACCTTCTATTGCGGCAGCCTCCGGTTAATCGTTTACTTTTAATGCGCTGATTTTCGTAAATCTTAAATCGTAAATCGTAGATGGTAAATGGTAAATTGAATTGGACCTGCAGGCTGCCGGGCTGTCTGGCCCAATAAAATGTTGTAATACTTAATTGTTGGGCATAAAAGCAGAAAAAACAGATGTATTGTTCCACATACTTGGGCTGGCCTGTACTTCGGAGTCAAAGTTAAGTGCCACAATTGCATTGTTGTGGGGGAAAATTAACCAATTTTTAGTGGGTCTTTCGTCAATTTGCAATTGGATGATGGCGCTAATTAGCCACCGAAGCGTGGAGTTTAGCGATTTGAGGGTTCTCACCTCGAAGGTTGTGACTGCGACAGTCGTTTTGTTAAGCGCACTCAAGTGACAGAAATGTGTTTTACCTTTTGGCAACATTTAGATCTGATGTAATTTGTTGTAATAGAAACGAAAATCAAGGTCGCTTACAAAAATAGTTAATATGGGAATATATTTTACATTTATAAAGGAAAATCATAGGTATATCTCCGATAATAGTACTTTATAAAATATAAGAAAATTCCTTAATATTTTTCCCATCAATTTCACACCATAAACCTCGAAATTTCCTGCCCATCATCCACTCATTCCATTCCCATATTGGCAAATCTGGTTCATAGGCAAGTTGTTTGCCAATAACTCGAGAAATTATTTGGCTTGGTTTTTGGATTTCGTGCAACCACTTTGCATAGTCCCAATTCACAGGCTCAGTAAGATGCCTTAGACATGGATGTGATGGTGGACATGGGGACTCCAATCCAATCGGATCAAATCGAAACGAAACGAAATGACATCTCGGGTTGATGTACTCTTAAATACAGATACAATTTTAATTGCTATATTATGGTCGACAACGTTTGACAACATTGCGAGACATGACAAACCGCCAAGCAGCGGCTACAAAAAGCAAATAGTTTTTGTTTCTTTCTTTTTGTTTGCACGTTGATTACCAATCCAATCCGCCACAAATCCCGGAGCAGCACAAGAAATATGGCAAATAAAATAAATGCTTAATTATGGCCCACGATTTGGGGTCTACGTCTCCTGATTTTGTTTTCTTTTTTTTGTGCTTTCCAGCGCAGCGTTGGCGTTGCGGCAGGTGCATGAAAGACAAAACAAAAATAACGCAAGTCAACATGCCACACTCGACTACGACTCACACTCTTGGCCGACGAAGTCGTCTTTGGTGCATTCCAGCACATACACACATGATCTGCAGCGTTTCTGCCGCTGCATTTGGCAATTTGGCGAAGCGCCTCAAATTCGAACTCGTTACTGGTACAATTTTTGGGTCTAAATTGAGGAAATTTTCTTAGAGGGTACATAAAAAAAGGGAATATGATGGATAATATATATAATTTTAATACAATTTTCCTCTTAAATATCTTACAAATCTTGTAGATATTTTATATGTAGTCTTTCCTATCTTATATCAGTGCAGTTCAGTTCAAGAAACAAATTATGAAACTAAAGTAATTTGTATTTCTTGCTCAGTGTATCAAGTTAGTTTTATATTTTATTTACTTCTTTCCCCCATTTTTTCTCTGTGATATGCAACATTTTTCGCCTCATTTCGCTGCTATTTATCGCCTCAAAATTATTTTTATATATTTTATTTTTCGCCGACTGTCGTCGTAATTGCAGACAAAATTTCATTTTGTGTTTGCTCTGCTCCGTGCGCCTTGGCCAGCAGGTGTTAATTTTTTGGTTAGCCATAGTTTAGATTCGCTGGCCGGGCCAGAGTGTGGCTTACTTTTACCCAGAGCACTCTTGGCCACTCAATCAATTCCCACTCACAAAAGTGAAAAGTCAAAATGCGGTGCTGCTGTGTTGTTGGTTATGCGCATGCGCGCATGTAACAGCTGCAGGTAAGCAGACCAAGCAATTACCTAGTAACTCATATTTACCGTTAGACATTTAGTACATGCATTAACTTGGCCAAAAGCAGCCGAACTGCTCCTGCCGCAATGTATTTCTGGCGTACATTTGCGACATCGGGGGCCCAAACAAAAAAAATAAAACAATGGAATAAAGTTTGTTACACGTGAAGAAAATGATAGTGGAACCCTTTAAAGGTGAGATTACAAGAAATATCTTTTTAGCAAGTATACATGTATAGTAAAGGTCCATAAAAATTATCTTCCTTTCAACTTATAAGCCTCTTTAAGATCGTTCTTTAAAAATATTCAAATTGTGTTAATTTTTCTGTAAAGACCTGTTCTTAAATTGAAGTAGAAACAAAAAACTATGATAATTTATTAGAAAATAGTTCAAAATTGTTGTACAGTAACTTGATATAGAAATAAATCAAATAGTTTAGCAATATTATTAAGTGGAATGTTCCTGTTTATATTTTCTGTTTTAATAGATATTTTAAAGGACCTCCTTTCAACTTGCAATAATATTTTTATTCAAATTAAAACAACAATTACCGAATTAATTTATTGCGGTAGAAGGAAATAAATTAAGTTTTAAATTGTAATTTTTATAGGTAAAAAAGTAGGTAATGTTATGCCATTAAAGCTTATATTTAATTTTTTTTTAATGTGCACCTGAAGCGATCGTTTGGCAAACACACAACAACAATGGCTGGCAATCAGCTGCAAACTTTGACTTTTGTCTCATTGTTTCATATTTATTAGAGTCCCGGCTGAAACCTTACAACTTAACAAGCCAGCGACGCGTGCATCTTTCCCAAATCCAAAACAAAACAAAAAATAGAAAAAACTGTTGTGGGAATTGCTTTTGCCGGCACTCTTGCTCTTTTAATGGTTATCCTTTTATGCAGCTTGGCTTACGCAACCCAATATACAAAAAATACAGCAGCGATTGTGGCTGCTGTAATTGAAAATTACACTCGAAGAGCCGTCGCAGAGTGCCAGGGCATCCCAACTCATTCGATTGCCGGCAATTTATATTAATTTATTTGAAGGCAATGCGAATAAAACACGAATTTACTGGGCGACTATCCCCCTCTGGTTCGGGTATGAAATATGCGTGTGTGTGGCCAAGAGGAAAATGGCAGAGAAATATTCCACTAATTGCGAGCGCACATTGAACTTACAAACACACACCACGCACGATGAAGTTGTTTTCCTCCTTTTTCCCCAGCGATCGTATGCATCCGTCACACAGTGCGTATGTGTAATAAAAGTTAATGGTAAGCAGCTCGGAAAACAAGTTGAAGCGGTGAAAATATCAACACATGTCCACCCATTTGACACATTTGATGGAAAATAATTGCTTGTTAAATGCATCAGTCACACGGTGCGTATGATATATGTTTGCAAATTTAATTTGCTAATATTATTAACATTATTATACATCATTATATTAGTAAAGTTTGTCTAATTTAAAAAGGAAATGTTTTCAGGGGGAAGTATTCCAGAAAAAAGTACAAATAAGTAATTAGCAACATGTTCCTAGCAACATTTGCCTAGCTACATTTTCTATCGTTTTCCGCCTTGTTAGATGCAGGTTGATTTACTCTGCTTTCCTGCTGTAAGATGATAATTTAAGTATAATTAGAGCACAAATAATCCTTTTCAAGTTTATAGCTCCGGATATTGGGTATTCCTCTGTCGAGCACAATCAACCATAGTTTTTTTACCATATTAATTGGTTTATCATTACATTTCTGCAATAAAAAATCTATGTAACATACCTCATTTGATTTATACTTATTTATAAAGGTACCAAATCATTTATAAAAATATATTTTCCCTGCCAAATAGTTTTAGGCAATTCAACGCTCGTTTCCTTTTCAGTTATTTTGCATAATTAATATTCTTTCTTTAGTTATATTCAATTTTTCCTAAATATAAGCCATCCCAAGTCCAATTAATTATTTTAAAATCTTTGTTTTAATTTACTTATTCAAATAACTTCATTTTTAGGCAAAATTGTCTGTCAAAATCTTGGCACACACACAATTTTCCCCACGAATAAACATTAGCCTGGATAATCTCTGTCAGCTTCAATCTGCGCATTCTTCATTATTCAATCGCATCCAGAGCCGTCATAGCCGTCAGCTTTGATTATGCATTCGCGGAGAGCGCCAGAGCCATGATATAACTGCCGCCGAAGCATAATCTGAAAAGCCTTTCAACGGTAACAAATAATATTCACTTGAATTCGGTGCTGTAACCAGCCGAGGCGGCAATTGCACCCGCCCATCAGGCCCGCGAGAGTTGAGTCTTAAGCTTCGGCTGATGGCGTTGACATAATAAATAGCCGAAGAAATTAATTAAATGCAAATTGCCAAATCACATAATCATATCATATGGCAGCTGGGACACTCTTATTCCAATCCCCTTGAGTGTCTGTGTGGAGCAACACGCGGAAAAGTGGCAAGATTGTTGCCGAGACTTGTCTCGCCGCCGCGCTGCGAATTTTCCAATTGATTTTGTTGCAGCTCTCTAATTGTATCATTGACTAATCAAAATATTTACGCTTTGCATTCACAGGCGGTCGGTAATTGTTAAATATTTTAATTTCGCTCCGCGACGAGTGCCACAGCCATTTTCACACGTTGAGGAAATTGGGCGGCATTGCCGTGGCTTTTCCCATGGCGACTTCCTTGGAAAGTCGGTGTCTGTGTCTATGCCAGTGCTGTCTCATTAATTAAGCGGCAATTGAATGAGTGTCGCCCTCTCTGCCACTTCCTACAATGAAAAGCGCTATTTGCCTTTAGCTTGTTACTTTTTAACTGTTTTTTTTGCTTGCAGGAGAAAAGTAGGTTAAATACTTTTACCTTATTCGGCAGCCGGCTAATTGCTGTCATTTTTGGCATCTCTGGGTTTTGTTTTTCCTGCTGCCACTGCCACAGCAAAGATGTGGCCAAATTAACAACTTTTCAAGCGCGCCCGAACCGGATATTATGAAATTTACCTGTTTCGGCCATATCGAGATTATAAAATGGCTAAATTTATGCAACTACTGGAAAACAGGAGCTGAACCAGCTGCAGCCTGCAGTCCCAGCCCCAAATCAAGTTGTCAGCGTGGACAAATTTATGGAATAAATCTCACATTTTATTGGGCCTGGCCGCAGGGACAACGCCCACGCATCGGGCTCAATGTTAAGTTGAAGTGCAACTGGGACAGGCAAAAAGCGAGAGGCCCCCGACGACCCACTGTGCGGCTACGTAATGCGCTCACAGTTCGCTCACATTACGTATACGTCACGCCCTAGACGAAATCGAAGCGAATCGCAAGCACACTTTCACGGAGCCACCCAGTGGTGCACCCAAGTGGTGCAAGCAAGTCGATTGCCTCAGCAATTAGTTAATGACCGAATATATATGCCGCAAAAGAAAGAAACGAAACGTAATGAATTGGAATGGAATGAACAGTAGCAGCCACTAAATTAGCATACAATAAAGCAAGCGAGCAAGACTGGCCAACTTTCCCTTAAAAAACAACATAACATAACACGATAGTAGTAATAATAATAATTGTAATTAAATAATGGAACTCTGGAAACAAGAATTGAGCACAAGTCAGATATATACTGACCAATCTCCTGGGCTGGACTCTTCTCAGCCAAGCATAAAAGTGAATGCACCTCCGATACAAATTCGTGGGCAATAAAAATCCCACTATATACAAATCTGAAATGCTAAAAAAACAATAACAGATACACTTTAAAGTGTTTGAAGTGCTTTTGGCAGCAAATTTCGCAATCGACGGCGAGTGTGCGTGCCACAAATTTAAGCTGCCGCAATAATGGAATAATAAATCAGCATAAATATGCATCGGATGCGAGAGAGAGAGTAGAAAAAACAAGCAAAGAAACCCACAACGAAACTGAAATCAACATGCATTTCGCATTTCCTTCCGTTTTTTTAACTCGCCATGGAAACGCATTTGGAAATTTGGAGCAATTAAATCGCAAAACCATTTGCACTTGGACTGGAACGTGATCCGGCCAAAGTCTTCCTGAATGCGGGGAATACCCCAGCAAGACTCCAAAAAACCCAACCCATCGTGGGCGACATAGATTAACCCACAAAGGCATATATGTACATATAGCAACACTTCAAAGGCGGCTAGCGACTTGGATTGGGATCAAGACGCGGCGGGACCAATTTGCCACCCGGAAGATATTCAAAAAATGCCATGCTGTGTGTATATGTCTCACCTTTATTGCAGCCCCAATTGGCTTGAATTCTTTTGTTGCCTTTTTGTTTCGGATTAATGGCTAAATTGTGATCAGTGTTTTTTATGGCTTAGATACTGGCGAGACAAGACTTCCATAAAAAGTGAAAGAAGCTTACCCAATCACCTGGTGAGGGCTAGGACCAGAGTCTTAACTAATATTAGTTAAATAGTAATATGATATCACTCGCTCTAAAGTTGTAAACATAACATTTAAAACCACATAAGACATTTGTAAAGAAAGTTACTCAGAAAATGTATAAACCGACGTATATTATAATTATTTTTAGCCATTCATTAACTTTCTATAATTTTTCATCCATAACCTTGGGATTTAAAATGTATTTGCATTTAATTTTGGGTTCATTTGAAAATGTTTTTGGTTATTAAATATATATTTTAAGACTTAAAGAGTTTAATTATTTATGAATAATATATATTAATAATTAATAAGCACCTTAAGAGATAGTTTACCCATCTTTGTAGACTTTTTCTCAGTGAATTTCCAGTAACTTGGACATTTACTTTGGCCTGACTTCACTTAGATCGGGTAAATTGGCCAGGAATTCTCTCCGATTCGCCTCAATGGTTCGCTGTTGCCAATTTGCATGGTTAGGAGTAGCATTGTCCAGTGGTTTGGGAGGAGGCAGGCTGGACTCTGCCTCCTCCACTTGCGGGGCCTTCTCAGCATTATTTGCCTTAGCTTTATTGTATTTTGAAGTCTCTGATTTCTGGGGTTCTGCAGACTTGCCGGACTCAGTGGTGGCCTTGGTGACCTCCTGCTCCGTAGGCAGTTGGAAAGGAGCAATGGGAAACTGTTGGGGTATCACGTTCTGGATAGGCATAACCTGATTGGGAGTCTTGCCCTGGATTACATTGAGTACATCTGGCTTCAGGACATCCTTGGTCACATCAATGTGGTTTAAGTCGAGACCATGCTGCTCCTTCAACTGCTTAGCCACATGATCCGCCACATGGGTGACGCTCACATTGAGGTGACTCATGGGATCCCAGGTAATGTTGGCTGGAGATTCCACCTTGCTTCTATCCACCAGGATATCGGGTCTTTGGGTGGGCCACACTGCCTTCACCTTTTCATCGCCCATTTTGTAGTTGTGCATCTGAGCAGAGTAACCTTTCTTCTCGTCCGCTGTGTATTGGGTGACCTGGATGACTCCATTGGGTCGGGCATAACCGTAGCTACCCTGGATGCTACCATTCACGAAGCGGCGTTCTTCCCGGAATTGTGAGTTGTGTGTTTGCGGATCATCGATCTCATAGCCAAAGGCATAGGTGTTGGGTCCTATTTTTTATACATAAGAAATTAAATATGTTTTTAATTTAAAGTATATATTATTATTATTATTAAATATATTGCCTACCGTAGGGCTCGTGCAGAAAATATTGGCTCACTTTGGCTTTTGCACTTTCATTTTTGGCTGGTGTCTTGGCATAGACTTCGGTCTTTGCTGGAGCTGGACTGGCCAACGTGGCGTATACTTTTGTGATTAATACAATAAGCTGGAAATATGAAAATTTAAGGCATATATTCAGGGGATCAGTTGGTTGGAAAAATAACTGCAGGTAGCTTTAAGCTTAAATAATGGAAAATAGTTGAAGTTGAAAGTTAAACATTTATCAGCATTTTATTTTATATTTTTTTAAACTTGTTCCAAGATGTTATAAGTACGCATTATTTATATTTTATTGTTATATGGTATTACGGCCAACATTAACCAGAACTCTTAATTCATTATGTAAGAGTTATTACAGATACAGCTTATTAATATATCTATATAATAGATTTATTGTACCAATTTTTTAATGGAACGTTTTTAAAAATATCTCTTCATTTGTATTTTATAGTATTTGTCTTTTAAACGTATGTGTTTTCATTTTTACATATGGCTCTAAAATAGTTTAAGTTATGTAATTGTAATTTTATTTTCCACCATTCTGTTCCTTTATATAGTTTTTATTTATTCAGACAGTTTACAGAACTCTCACTTCCTTAACTATTCCAAACCTATTGATTTTATTTCTAGTTTTTAAGTTCTTTGCGATTATTTATAATTCGAAAGCACTTACAATAAACCGAAATAAATTAGACAAACATCCCATGATGATTATTGATTACTTTTCCCTATAGATTTATAACATTTATTTCGATTTTAGCTTTTTGGCCGGCGAGTTCCGCGTACTTTCGATAGCTTTAAAAGACTGAAGAACCGAGAACCAAAATTGACAGGTGGATGCCCTCCTCCAAGTGGGTGCGAATCCCAATTAGAAATACTTCACCAGAATGCTAAGTAATTTTCCCCGTTTTTTTTGTAATAATTATGGCCCCGTCATGCTAATCTTGCCGACCTTCGTGATTATTTCTTAAGCCAACCCAAGAAAGAGGAATACATAGATTGATTTTTTTTAAATATGATTTTTTATTTATTTTTTTTTTAGTTTTCTTTTTCTATTTCCATAATAACGTTTTTCGCATTTCGTTTGCTGTTTGCTGCTGTTGTTGCTCTTGTTTTTGCATACAAATGTTTATGGGGAATATATAGTACATAAGTGTAAGGCTCAAATGAACGTTTGAGACGTGAGAGACATGTGAGAGTTGTGGTTTACTTTTCGTCTATCCTCCTTAAATGAGTACAATGATATTAATTATATTTTTTTGTGTCTTTTTTCGTACATTTTTCATCGTTTTGTCGTTTATAATTAAGCTGCATAATGTTTATAAATACACAATAAATGTGAAAAATACTAAATGCAAAAAATGAAACTAGATACAAAGGTGTGTCAGACTGAGAGTGAGTGAGTGAGTGAGTCGGTGAGTCGGTGAGAGAGACAGACGGAGAGAGAGAGACAGTTGAGTGAGTGAGAGAGTTTGAGGAAAGAGACGGAATGAGGACACGAGGAGGATAACGGGGACAACAGAGAGTACTAGCTACTAATGCACAATGACCGGCCATCTCAGGATATTTACAGGATATACACACATATATATGTACAGCGTGTTCAGTGCCTGCCAAACCATCGGGGATCCCGCCATGGCACACAGTTTGGCTCTGAGGGAGCTAGCACGCCCCTTACAGGATCTCTCTTTTCGGGGCGTGGCAGTTCGGGGATCCTCCACACAACGTTTTGGCAAAGTCACCGTCCAAGGCTTTCAAGGGAAGATAGCATAAATATATAGAGATTATATAGTCAAGAAACAGATCGAGATAGATCATATAAATATATTACAAAAGTCGAGCTTCGGAAAATAGAAAACAAAGAAAATAAATAAAGTTGTATGTACAGAAAGAGAGAGAGATAGGGAAGAGATGCTATCCACAAGATGCCCTTTTAGCTTATCCTTAACGCTAGTATCCTTGGATTTCACATCTGCCGACATTTGGCGTGCAAAAGTTTGCCTTGGGAAATCGGTTCTGGTTAACTGTACATACATATATATACAAAGAAATATACAACATTTATCATATATCATATGGGATGAACACTGTCTCTCCAATAAAAAATGAACTCCAATCTTCGTTATCCATCAGGGTCGTCATCCGCGATCAAGTCATTCCGAATGCCAAGTCGTTATGAATTTGCTTTGAATGTTGTGATTTCTTGGTTTTGATTTTTGTTCGTTTTTCCTTCGTCCATGCCATGCCAGGATCAGCCGGGTTCCGGGTTTCCGCCTCCTAAGGACGGTCCCGTCTTAAACTCTTAGCTACGCTTACTTACAAAAGAATTCTCGTTGTTTTGTTTATAATTTTTTTTTGTGTTTTTTTTTCATTTTTTGTTTGTGGTTCCTATAAAGTTTCTGCTGTTGTTGTGGTGGTGGATAAATGAGAGCAAGAGGGAGAGCACCAGAAGGGGTGACTGTGTCAGGCTCCTCGCTTGCTCGCCTAGTAGTGATGCAGCAGGGGGGCATGTGCCAGGACGGGGGCATGCACCACCGGCGCATGGGCAATGATCTTGGTGGGGGCGGTCTTGTGGACGACGGCATTGAATCCGTTGTGATCGTCGGCGGTGTAGTCAACGGTGCGCACGGAGCCATCGGGCTCAACCAGAGAGTACTGGCCTGGAAGAGGATGGGGAATTAGGTTTAATATGGAGATTAATATTACAAATAGGTTAAAAACATGTTATATATAGTAATTTGATATTTTATTTATTTATTTATTTATATATATCGAAAGTTATCTCAAATCATTTGCTTAATTATATAAATAGCCAACCTACTGTCATATATATAAAAATTAAAACATTTTTAAAATTAATCTTAAGGCTACTCCCAAAATATTCACCCTAAAAAATAATTTGTAATAGGATTAACTTAAAAGATTCTTTTGAAAATGACTTAATTCAGATTTCTCAACAAAATGCCTAAATTTTAAAGATTATTCGTATTAATTTTAACTGAACTAAATTGTATTTAAAGAAAGAGAAAGAGTTCATAAATAAATAATATCCATATTCATTAATAAATAATCATTAAATAAAAAACAAGTAACTAAAAAATAATAAGAAACATCTATATCACTACATTTTATATTAATGAACGAACACATTCACATTACTTGACTCCCTCTCTCCCTGATTGAGACGTCTTTTATTGGTTGGTCGAGTTCGTTGCCTAAGTCTTTTGATTTAAGAAGCAAAATTGTTAAAATAACCTGATACCTGAAACAATTTAATAAAATCTTTAAACTTCGTTTCCAACTATAATCAAAGTTTCGATATTAATTTTGGCTGCCTGAATTCAAGTTCGTTGCCTAAGTCTATCGTTTTTGAAAAACAAAACCAGATTTATATCAATTTAATTAGAAACAAATATGAAAAGTGTAATCTAGGAAAATAAAACCATTTCTCTTTATATGTTGCTCAATTTTGTAGGTACGTTGTTTTAAATAAAACACTTTATAAGACTCCTTTATGATGTTTTACCTTGAAAAGTTTTAAATTTTATTCAACTAGTGGCAACTTACCCTTCACAACATCACCGTCACGCTCCTCAGCCTGCGACTTGATGTCGCCAGTGTGGGGATCCTTGATACCATAGTTGAAGGAGTACTTGGGATAGGCCACCGGCTCGGCGTGGACGGCATGGACGGCGTGCGTCAGGACGGGCGCATGATGCACCAGCGCCGGAGCATAGTGGCCCAGCTCGATGGGAACGGCCTGGGCGGCGGCGAACAGCAGAGCGATGGCAACAAAGTACTAGAGTGAAGAAGTGAGTGTCAGGATCGGGGATTTGGATACACTTGGAGGTACCTAGGGGCGCTATGGGTTTTGTTTTTTTTTTTTTTTTGTATGGGGGAAACGAACACACACCTTCATTATGTTTTTTTTTCGAGCACGAACACGACACGCGAACACGTAGCTTGGTTAAGGACGAAGGACGACTGGACGCTGATTCCTGTGCAGGAGGCTGTATCTGAGGAGAGCTCGAGCGAGTGAGGACCGTTAAGAGCACGAAATCGTTAGCTGAACTGATGTCTGCAACGATGACCAAAAGTATTTATATACGCGTCGGCCGTCGACGACTGCAACCCGACTGCACAGACGACGGCTTGGTGTCGACTCGGATCTGGCGGTTGCAGCTGCCACGGGCGGCGGGTGGCTCGGGGGTGGCCAGCCATGGATGCCAGATGCAGATGCCAGCTGGGGAGGGGGCGGAGTGGGGACTGCAGACTGGGGCCCAAGCGAACCACGCATGTGCCACAACAATGATCCCCGGTCTGGCGAGAGGTGCGGCATTTGTTCCGCGGGCCGAGAAGGCGTTCGGTCGTCGGTTTTGCTCGATCGGTGACTTAGTTTCGCTGACTGTTTGTCTGCGATGACGGGGCTGCAATTGAAAGCGACACTTTTGCATTGGCTCTAATGATCTAAGCTCTTTATTTATTGATTTGCCGACATAATTACGATCGTGGCACGGCCGAAAACTATATATATAACATATATATATATTTACCATAAACCGACCTGTATCTGTGGCAATCAAACGGGGCGTCGTTATAATTACCACGCCAACGCCGCCAAGTGTTGCATTCTGCGTACTGCGTACCGCGTTCGTGCCACGCAATTTGCTGCCCGACATTTTTTCGCCCAACTCCAGTTCGAGTTCCAAGTATTTCCACAATCTCGGGGAGAACTGCCAATGGAATTTCAATATTGGCAAATAGCTTGACAGGGATATAAGCAAATCAAACGCCGCCCGATCAATATCTTTCGGAGGCATGCGACAAATGTTTGTCGCCAAGATTGCCAAAAATGATAAATATTGGATGGAATTCGGATAAGAGATTGTTGCGGAATGTCTATAAATATTATAGCAAACTATTGTACTTATTTTTTATGACTGGTTTCTGTCATTAACTTTTTTATTTGAAGCTCTAAGCATTGAAATTTTATTATGTGTTTTGAAAAGACTTTTGTTTCTTTTCTAGGTTAAATATTAATGTAAATGTATACATTTATTGCAGACATAAATAATTTATTTTTTAAAAATAAACTAGAAAGAAAGCTAAATTCGGGAAACCGATAATTATATACGCTTGCAGTTAGCAAATCGACCATAACTAAGCTTAAGATATTAGGATTCTTTGAATCCATGATTATCAATATTTTTATAAGGCCATTTTTTTGACAAATCGAAATTTAAATAACTAAAGAAAACATGTGATATATACCGCCGAAAATGACTCCTTCATTCTCTTTCCTAGAATTATAACATCCTGAAAGACACACACATCAATGCTGAATATTTGGTTTAAAGGATTTTTGATATTCGATGCCGCCTTTGGTCTATCAGCTTAAAATTTATAGGGCATATTCAGCACATGTGTGGATATACCTGGTAGTAAAAAATTTGGAAAAGGTCAAGAAGATTTTATTATACCCAAGACAAAAACTCAACAATATTTCTAAATAATCATGAATGAACAATAAATATTTTGTAAAAATGTTAGGTTTTCTGTGTTAGTTTTTATTCTACTAATAATTTTGCATTTAAACATTTTAAAACCAAAATAACTGGATATCTTTATGGTAATTTTAACGAGGGAACCCATTTTAAAATTAAAAAAAATATGTAATGTAATTAAAATTAAAAAAAATATGTAATGTAATTAAAATTTAAAAAATATGTAATGTAATTAAAATTAAAAAAAATATGTAATGTATGTATGTTAATAGTGTCGGAAATAAGTCCTTCACTGCGTTGGAAACTTTCAAACATTTCCATATTGCTTAAGTAAATTAAGCCGGGCTTTATAAGCCCCAACCAAAGTTCAAAGTTCCCCCCTTCCCTCCCAGCTTACTTAACTCTTAACTTAAAAAACACTACCTTTTTGACACTTTTTCAGGCAACACCCACAACAAACAAACAGCCAACAGCGCCGCTCTGGCATGACATATCAGAAAATTATGATTGTATCTTATAAAACACACACAAGTGGCCATTAGGCGGGGGCAACTGTGCAGACTGCACTTGGGCCAAACGATGGGAAAAAACTCCAAGATAGGAGAATAAAAAAATAACAACAAAATAGAAAAAATACACAAAACCCAGATCGCACTATGTATAAGAGATCACTTTGGCCTGGGCCTGGCCATTAGCATGGAAAGCGGAGACAAAGACACAGAATCGACTTACATAAAACGTTTTCGGGGGGCTTTAAAGGCGACACATTTACACGGCTGGCCGAAAATCGCTCGAAACAATTGCCAACGAGCCACAGAAAAAAGAGTTTGTTCCACAAACAAGTTGGCCACGTCACGATCGCACTTTGACAGAGGCTGTTCCCCCTCAGAGTTCAGCGTCAGCGAACAGCAAACCAACAGCAACATCTAGCTACAGCAACAGCTTCAGTTTAGTTGGTTAGTTGGTCAGCGTGGACAAGACAGTTGGAAAATCGCAAAAATGACTACAACAGGCTTTGTCTCCGTCTCCATCTCCATCGTCGCCGTCTCTCTGTTTTCCTCGATCGATGTTTAGTTGCGCAATTGTCGGACTAAGACCTCCTCCTCCTCCAACTCCTACTCCTCCTCCACGATCCTCCTCTCCTCCATCGAGGAGACATTTGCTGATCGATCGATCGAGCGAATTGTTTGCATGCGTTAATTGCACTTGTCCACGCACAGTCTCCCCTCACCGATACCCCCAAAAGAACTTGTAATGGATAGCTCTCTGCTAAGCTCAAGATTTATTATATTTATGGCTGCAACTGTCGATAACTAGAACAAACATTTTTGCCTTGATTTATGCCCCGCGATTTGGCAGTTTGTTTGCCTATGTTTGGACAATGGCCTGATGTGGGAGGTTTACTAGCTTTTGGGCGGGATTTTGGAGGAGGTATTGGATCCATTTGAACATTTAAACGCACTTTGCAAGACTAAGCTGAGTTTGGTATAAGGGGTATAAGAAGCTGAAAGATGGTGGGAAAAGTTTAGTTAAATTGTATTATATATAATATAATTATAATTTATTTATATATATATTTTACCTACAACTATTTTGTAGCTTCTTAAAAAAGAGTTTTGCCATCTAAATTTTAATAATTCTCATTTGAGCATAAGTTTACATGTTTCTTTATTTTTGATTAAATGTTCTTCTCTTGTAAATAAAGTTTTGTAAAGATTTAACTACTTCTTCTACTTACTTGAATACAATTCTGTTCTTATTTAACTTCTTACTCAGTAAACTACTTATATTTCACTATAAACTAGTAACTGCCTAGTCGACCCACTTTATTTGAATCAAATTCTTTTAAAAAACTTACCCATTGGCTAAATGACTTGACAGTTATAGATTTGTGGCTTGATTTATGCAGTAGGCAAAGCGATTTATATTTGTTTCTTTCGTGATTGAGACTTTGAAGGTTTTTTTTCGGCTTGAGCATTATCTTTGACTCTGAACTGGACAATAGGCCTCGGGGTTGGTTCAATTAGAAAGTGAATGTAGTGCACATTCCACGCAATGCGATCCAAGGCGTTGCACAACGCTGCGTATGCGTAATGTGCCATATATGGATATGGGTATATCCGGTTTAAAATGTGTGCACTTCCACCCAGATCACATCCGTTTTGCGATTATGAAATCTTGTGCACTTCCGAAAACCTTTTGTAGATCTAATTACGCTTTTGTTTGGTGTGTCTTTGTTAAGGTGAGACCTTTGAAACGTTTAGTTGTAAATAAAAATGGAAAGGAAACAAATCAACAAACAAACAACAAACAACAAAGGAAACAATCTGTTTAAGAAAATATTTCATTTAAAATTTAAACTATGAAAATTAGGATTAGAATAATTTAAATATGCCATGATAGATAAACCAAGTTATTTGGATAAATGTTTCTAGGAACATGTTTCTGGGAATAATTTTAACTTTAAAATCTGGTCTTTTAAAAATGTGAAACCGTTTTAAACTAATAAATTCTTCCACATTTTCCTTAGCTTAATATATTTGTAGCCTACAATCTTTAATTTTCAACTATCATATATTTAACAATAATTTAAAAACAAGTTGTATAGTTTACATATTCATAGAAATCAATAAAAACATATTTCCCTTCGAAATTCTTAATACTTTATAACCATTTTGCTCTAGTGTAAATTTGCGAAATTAAACATGTTTAATTTTGAAACCCAGTCAATGTAGATATTATATTTTTTATTTTACGGCTTCTTAACACTTTGGCTAATTAAAACATTTCCAAGCAAAGGGGGATTCTTGCACGTTGCCCGCAGACGCATGCTAACCATATTTAGCCGGATTTAGTTGGTCTCTCATTCTATATGCCGCCGAAAGGGGTTGAGATTGGACTACGACGATTGGGTTTCAATCGAACTTAGATCTGGCTTCGAGCGGGTTATTAGTTAGCTTGATAAAAGGGGTGATGGGGGCTGTCAATTAGCCCGGTCCGGTTGCTGGCTGCCAGCCCAATTTTGTCGCCGGCTCAATTGTGAGATTACCGCCGCCAAGTTGGTCCGAATGGCTGGCATTTCGGCATTATTACCGCATCGTGGTCTGGCAAAACCAGACGTCGTTTGATCCACTTTCGACGGCTCTGAGCGCTCAGCCCCGAGCTCTGCATTTCGCACATTTAATGCGATTTTGCACATTTGCGCGTTCGAAATTAAGCGAGTGACGAAATGGAGCCGCTGGCCAGGCCGAAGACCAAAGTGGATCACGGCACGCACACTGCGAGAATGTGTGTGTGGATCGATTTTTCCCCGTGCTTGCAACAAACTTGCCGTTGACTTCGCTTGATTGAGTCCATGCGAAAACGAAAATGAAAATGAAAACTGCAGCGAAATCGAATTGAAAATTGAATCAAACTCGCAGTCCGAGGCGAACGCACACGCTCCACTGGCCTGGCCTGGTCTGGCCGATATCCACTTGACGTTGATGTTGATGTCCATGTCGATGGTGATGTCTGTCCCGGTGGCCATTGTGGTTACGTAAATGCACTTCTTACCTCTTGGACCCCTTAACCCCTGGCAAGCTGGCGGCATAAGCTCGCCAGATATTTCAATTAGCGTTTTATTTAGATTTCTTACTCTTTCAGGACAGGAGTTTCGGGATTATGCAAATGTAATCCCAGCAAAAGTGGCATAATTGTGGGATATATGGGTATCAGATGGGGAGTTGTTAAGCTATTTTCATATATTATTGTAAATTTAGTTAGAAAAATAATATTCAAGGTATAAATTATTATATGAAAAGATATTCTTACCAAATGAATGTTAATATTTGTAATAAATCAATGATCTGTTTAATGTCCTTTTTGTTTATACTTACATATTGAATTATTTAAATAAGAAAACCTCTTGTTTTTTACATTAGTTTACAAGTTTTTTTTTATTTTATCACAACATAAAAAAAATGTAATTTCCTCCTCAAGTTCCTTGTGAGATTCCTTTCTAGTAATCCTCGCTGCTGGACTCCTCCTGCTGACTGTGAGCATTGGCCTCCACGTAGCCCTCTTCGCTGCTGCCCTCGTACTCCTGGTGATCATCGCCACCTTCCTCCTCCTCCTCCTCCTCTCCACCCTCATCCTTTTCCGCCTGGCCAGCACCCTCGTCATAGTCTTCATGTACCTTGTACTGACCATTTCCCTGGTGTGGAGCTGGTGCCGCCTCTTCGTCTTCGGCTTCTTCGGCCTCGGAGCTGTCATGTCTCACCTGGTTAGCCACTGCCCCACCGGCGGCATCTCCCTCGGTTCCATGACCGTGCAGTGTCTTCACGCCATTGGTGATGACCTCCGCCTGGAATCCACTGGCATCGTCGGCCGTGTACTTAACCACACGCAAGGTGCCATCCGGATCGACTACGCTGCGCAGAGGCCATGGAATAAAATATTATATTAATTAAAAGCGAGATTTTGTGTAAGTATGAGGCGATAAAGTTATTATTATTAATTGGTGACTAGTGTTGGAAACTAAAAATGTAATTTTTAGGCTGTATATATATATTTATAATTAGAATGTGGAGCATATTTGCATCCAAATTGATTCATCAATTGTAAATACAATTATAACTTGTAACTCTTTTCAAAACTGAAAACACATAAACATATATTAAAATATGTTTCTAAATTCACCTGGATATGCTCAAAATATAACAACAATTATCATAAGTAGCTGCGCCCGATCTACCCACACTCTATATGTATAGTAAGTGGTATTAAATTGCCTACAAAACTCCATATCAATTTCAGCTCAGTGTGACGCTAATGAATGCGTTGACAAGTTGTCCCCATCCCGGCCAGCGGCACCCCTCATCTTCACACAGCGGTGAGTGGACTTGGACTCACCTGTAGACGCCGCGCACCTCGTCCCCGTTGCGCGTCTCCTTGCGATTGTGCAGCACGCGCGTCTCGCCATCCTCGACGCCATAGGCGAAGCTATACTCGGGCCGGGCCACATAGTCCACGGTGCGTCCGTCGTGGATGGTGACCAGATGCTCCGGCCCCGCCACCGGACCCTCGAAGCGCGTAAAGGAATAGCCGACGGCGTCACAAGAGCCAATCATTCCGAGTCCGGCAATTAGCGCCAGCAGGGGCCAATCTCTGAGAGCGGCGCGTGCTCCTCTGCGGTGCGCAATGCGGAAGCCGAAACGGGTTCCCAGCTCACATCCATCTCGATATCCATCTCCAGCTGGGCTGGTTACGCGTCGCTTCTTCATGGCTCTATCAATTGGCAGCCGATTCTCGCATACTAAGCGTGAAATGTCGCACTTTCCCGGTATTTATATAGTCGCAGATCTTTGGGATTTTGGGCGGAAAATGCCTACCTTTTTGTGGTCACAAACATTTCCGCGAAATTATGCGCTTCACTGGCCATCCAAAGGCAGTCAAGTGGAACTGCTGTCCAACTCTGGCCGGGATGTGGTCAACCGATGACGTTTGCCCAGAAATTGCAGCACTCCCAGCATTTACACAATGCCCACCACAACCACCTGACGTCATCGATGTTCATGGATGATGAGGATGGGGGATGAGATGGAGGGCTGAGGAGCAGTCGAAGGAAAAATCTCTTAAATGCCACGATCCCTGATTGACCATCGCACATCGCGGCGCAATTTGTTCAGCTGGGAAATCGCTTTAAGTGCGTTCAATACGCCAGCTAGTTAAGTACACAGTGAGAAAAATTATAGAAAAATACGAATTCCTATTTATTTTAAGAATTTAAAGAAGGTTTAACAATATCTTGAAAACTCAATAATCAATCAATTCAAATTAACACCAAAAAACAGGATAAAAAACTACATAACTATGTACATACGTAACTTCGTTTTTAATATATGTATATTAAAATATAATTAATTGTTTTCATTTACCAAAACGTAATTAATGTTTTAGTTTTTTTTTCTCCTTGTTCAACTGGCCAAATGATCGAACATGGAACCACTGGCGATGGCCAAGATAAGCCACCTCCGCGTCCGCGTCCAAATCCCCAGAGGCCGGAGACAAGCGCAGCTGCAACCGTTGAAGCTTTGACCTTTTTCTGAGGGTCTGCAAGTAGGGGAAAAATTTACCCAAAAAAAAAAAAAAAGAAGAAAATGCTGAATTATAAAAACCAGCAAAAAGGCAACCAAAATATGGCTATTATTTTGGCTACTTCTAATTTATAAGCGAAGCGCGCGCAGCGGCTGCCATTGTTGGCAATGGTTGAAAAATGCATATATCATTGGCCTCTGGAACTCGCCGGCTGTTTGTTGTGCACAGTAGTTAAAAGAGTCAGGGGGACTCTATGCCACTCCACTGGCTATCGTGGGAAAACCCCTTGTGAGTGTGTGTGTGTGTTTATGGTGTTATATAGTAGAGTTTAGTGTGTATATGTTGTGCGCAGAAAGCGTCGCTTAATTACCAAGATTACACAAATGCTGCTACTACCTGCCGTTGGGGCTGAGGCTGAGGCAACGAGAATCGCACATGGATCGGCGCGAATCTCTTTTGGCTTTTGGCTGCCATTAACGTAATTAAGACGCAGCTCGTTTGCCCTTTAGCGGCATTAGGCTTCAGCCCCAACGACTACTGCTGACACGCAACAAAATGTGTCACTGCATTATGACTCCAATGGCGCAATGCAAATGCCTGTCAGGCTGGGGCATAGCCACTGTCTTGGGCTCTATTAAAGCGAAACTAAGCCACATGCCAGCGAGTCATGTCTGCCTCTGTTGAATCTGAATCTGAATTGGAATCGGAGAAGGAGCCAGAGCTGGAGACGGAGACGGAGATGGAGACGGGGTCTGTTTCTGCGGCTGACATCGACCAACTCTAACTGGGGTGTCCTAAGCAGCCGGCAGCCAGGAAAGATCTTTGCGAGCAGATAAATTGCACATGCCACTGTGCTATTACACTCAAAGAATAACATAGAAATATTTATATATTAATTATTTAAGATTTAAGTTGATCTTAGTTTACCTGATATATAATACACATTAGACAAGAATTTACTGATCCATTTGTCTTTAAAGACAAGTTTATCAGGTTATCTATACCACCTGCGTCAGTAAACCCAGAATCTCATTGAACTTACTTTATAAATTATTCATTTCTAGAAATTTTCTTTAATAAAATGTTATATACAAAAATATTAGAATTATAATATCTAAAATTATAATAAAATTAATAATACCCCATTTACTTAACTAATAAGACACTTAGAATGAGTTACACTAAGAACGCATAATCTACTTAAGTATTATGAGCAAAAACCAGATCTGATAATATTAGAAACATTTTAAATTAAATGAGAATTAATAGAGTTATAACAATTATAATTATAATATAATAGTAGAATTAACAGCACTATCATTCCCAATGGGTTCTAGCTATCACTTAGTGGCATTCATGTTGAAATTTTTAATTTATCATCGGTTAGTAAAGAGGAAGGAACCGATTCCTTCAGAAGCAGCTGTATATCTCTGCCTTAATTATGTCTTTAAGATTTGATGGGTTTCTTTAATTTACTTAATACTTAAAAATTATATATTTTCTAATAAATTATATTCGCTCAGTGCACATGTGTGTGCTTTTCTATGGACTATTATGTAAGGCATCTCTTTGCGCCGGCTTCTGCCCCATTTCGAGTGAAACCAGCTTTTGCTTTGGCTTCGTTTTCCTTTTCATTTGCACCAACCAAGAGTGGGACGTTGCTGGAGCGGAGATCTCGATCTGGACCGCATCGGAGCCTGGTCAGCTTCCCTCCAATCCGGATTGCAACACTCACTCGAAAGCGAGGCGGGAAAAGTTTACTCAATCAGAGTTGGCTGTGGCATTTTCATTCATTTTAAACACACACACCACAGGTCGAACGAGGAGCATACACACCGTAACCGAACCGAAATAATATCGATAAGTTGCTATAGTACGATTTTGTATGATTTAATAGATTGCTTCTGCAATGATTTGCTTATCCCGTCTGGCCGTAATAAATCTGGGCACCGTTTGGCGCCGATCTGCATCGTCGGAGGAGTCCGATACCAAAGCCAAGGGTACGTAAATCAGCCTATATAATATATCCATTATAAATATTGCTTTGCATTATTTTTCAGTGAAAGCACCTGTGACTTCAAGGGACTTCCAGCGACCCCTTACACTGCACACAAGAAGGGGTTACATCAAATGGTTCAAGAGGTCTTCCCGCTCCTTGCAGGGCAGAATGTCCTCCCATTATCCAAGGAATTAGAGATCTGATCCTCCGAGGAGCAGATCCCATTAACAGCAAGCGACGATTGGCAATTAAAACTGCATCTGGTGTGGAGATTAGCTCACGTCGCGGTCTTATTAGTGACCCATTTATTTTTTAGTTTTGTTTTCGAAGCCGCTCAGCTGGGAGCCGGTTGTGCCGGCCAAGTTGCGAATGTTGGTCAGTGGAGCGACAGCCACTGCTGGCCTGGCCTGGTAAATGGCCGCTTTTCCAGACTCGCTTTCATCGTTTTTTCCAGGCTTTTATCTCTGGCCACAGGCAAATTAGTCAAATGGTAACAATTATATAATAATCTAGTTATATTCGGACACTATGCCGCTGCTTCACCGAGTGTGTCCCGGCGAGAAGTGGGCGTTGCATCGGGCTGCCTTTCACTTTTTCTGGATCGGATCAAACCAGGCCGGACCGGGCATGGCCAGCTGTGCCAGGATATATATCAAGCGGCACGATTATACAATGCTTCGATGCTGGATCGGCACGTAATTAGTTGCCGGGGACGAAAATAAAACTACACAGAACCAAATATAATGTACTAATGTCATAAAAGAAATATTATTTTTAATATTTATAAAATGAATTTATGTTGTTAAAGCTTAATAATAGTCATAGCAAGGTACAGCATTTACTGTGAATTTAACTCTAATTATAAACCATTTAAAATCGCTTTTATTCACCTTGTATGGCGAACAATTGCAAACACACTCTGAATGTTTGAATGTTCTCCGAGCTACGCTTTTCAATTGAGACATTATTCAATTTGTGACAATCGCGAGAAAACCGAAACCAAACTGAAACTAGAAAGAAAAAATACAAGACCAAAAGTGTTCACAAAAAAACCAAGAGCTAAAAACAATTAACTGCATTTTGGTGATTTCCCAAAGCGATGTTCTAATTTTGCAACCAAAGGAGAAGAAAAAAATACCTCGCTGGGCCCAAAGTTGTGAACATTTAATGAGCACCAAAATCGTAAATTTAATTTATATCGTTTTCTAAGCTTTTTGTCAGACGACAAATTTCGTAATTTTGCTGGCTTTGCTTTTGCTTTCCGCTGATTCGTGTAAACTGTGCCGACGCTCGGCATGGAGCTCGGATCGCAGCCGGAGCCTGGTTGCATGTCAAAGGCGCATGAAATGCCGCCAGGCTGCCACAAGAATCAAATGACACTCGGCCTGGCCTGGACTGGCCTGGTCCATTTTCGGTCAGCAGCGAGCTCCGCAAAAAAATTATCTATGCAGCGAGCCGTATGCCTCGCATGATATATCCAAAATACCCGCAGTGAGCAGCCTTAATTGGCACCTCGACACTTGGCCAGGACTGAATACCTGTGTGTGTAGGTGCTCTTGGACAACGGACTGTGGTGCGAGATTTATGTTCTCCATCCACATTCATTGCCCAACTGGCGGTTTCGCACTTTGGTACATTAAAGCACTGGCACTGGGACTCGCTTCGGCTTCTGGCTTCTGGCCACTTGGCAGTTGGAAGCTGGAAGCTGCCGCCGCTTTATGATAAAGTATCCCCGCCAATGGTCACGCAATAAATTTTTGACATGACTTACGCATGTCCAATATGGTTGATGGGGGGCAATAGATATGAGTGGTGGCCATTCTGCAGATCTAAGTGATCCGCATTGGAGCAATATAGCATTTGTACAACTTTTATGGGAGTCAGTAAAGGCCACACGGCGTATGAGCGATTTAATCTGAAATAATATCTTGAGACACTCAAGGTCTCGGGGCTGTTAATGTTTATCTTTAAAATAAGAAAACATATAAGAGAAGGGGGTTATTTTTCAATGTGATATGGTTTTGACAGGTCTACTTTAAAGTAGATTTAGAACTTGGATTTAGTTTTAAGTTTTAGTTCAAAAGTTCCAATAAAAAGAACCTATTCTAAGCCTACATAAACTCTTGATTTTGATCGTGACTATTATTATTTGTATTATTTTTAGAGTTAACAATTTAATGCAAAAATATGACCTCTTTTTAGTTTAATTTAAGCGAAAGTTGTCTCCATTTTTTTGGCTTTTAATTTATGTTATGCGTATTTCCTTCATTTTTTTTTTGAAGTCGCGCCTTTATAATTGCAGCTCTGCCCCAGAAATGTCAGCGATTAGCCGGGAATTTAATTTGGCTGCACCCTTGCCACCAACATCAGACAACTGCCATCGGTGCGAAGAACCGCCTACCTTCAGGTCTATTTACATATGTACATATGTAAATAATATATATAAATCCAATTTGCAATAACTCAAGTCGGGCAGAAACATCTGTAAATCGATTGATTGCACTTCGCCTAAATATTGCAATTATCCAGCGGCGGTTAAACAAACGTCGTTAATTACATAGGCAATCATTCAGGCAAGCTGGCAGTCGGTCTGTGTGAGAGAGCAGCAATTATAATTGGCGTTTATTGAGATACAGCGATAAAAGCCATTGGTAATTGACATTTAAGGCAATTCATTAACGCGGCTAACACGTAGGGGAGTCAAAAAGCCAAAGCCAAATACCAAACAGGTGGACTACCGAAAAAATACACTTCTAATCATGCACTAGATATGGGGATAGGTTTTTTTTTTTTTGTAGAAAATGTACGACTTAAAAATGTTGCCTCAATTTTTGTTGTCCAATTTTTTAGCGCGCACATTTGCATACGAACTGCAACGGCGCCACGGTTCTCTTCGGTTCCCACCAGCCGCCATCCAGTTAAAGTCGCGCGGATTTGGAGAGTCGAGTTGTTAGCGGCAATTATTGTAACATGCGGACGGGGCTGCATAAATCAGCTTAATTGCTATATTTAAATTCTAAATTTGGAGTTTTGGCCAAGTGCGCCGTCGTCTAGTTGTGCAAGTGACACGGTCAGGCGTCCGTTTTTTTTAGCGACCGAAACGTTATTAATGCGTGGGTTTATTTTTTGGGCAGCAAATGTAATTTATGCAAATTAATATATGTTTATTTTATATGGAAAAGTTGTTTACCGTTGTTTGAAATCGTATAGATTGGTTACCTAATGGGAATTTGATTATATTCATTAAAAAGTAGAGTAATTGGAAACTAAAACATCTGTATTTTCATGTAAATTATGGTTGCTATATAAGAATAAATAAAACCACACTGAATAGTTTTATTTGTATGATACCTGGGTAAATTACCCAAGAAATTTATAAAATATTAATGTATATATTTTTCGAAAATTTTAAATATTGTTGCTTACATGTGTACATTTGTAAATTTAAATCTAACCGCCAAGTGTTGGTTAAACTTAATCGGTAGATTGATAGATAGTACTTATCGAAATACGATTGTTATTGTCTAACCGTTTTTGTTGTTGCGTAAATTCGATTGTTCTTATAATATTCGATAACGCTGGTCGATAACTTCTGTTTGTTCGCGTTTGTTGATTCCGCGCACACCTTTCGCAACACTAGAATTAAAGCCGGCTAAAATACGCGAATTGCGCATTTAATTTTCGTTTCATTTTGAGGCGACGAAATGTCGACAACCAAAGACGAAAGTTCCCCGCTCAAGAGCGACAAAGATGTAGATTTAAACGAACTGGCGAGACAAGAGCTGTTCTCCTCGGATGTGGAAATGGAACCGCTGGAGTCTGATACGGAATTCAAGGAATCCAAACCACCGTTATTGGGTGAACCGGACAGGGTTGAGGAGGTTCCCTTTCGGCGGGATAGCGTAGAGACGGTTCCCTTTCGGAGGGATAGCGAAGAGACAGTTCTCTTTCGGCGGGACAGCGAAGAGACAGTTTCCTTTCGGCGGGACAGCGTGGAGGCGGTTCCCCGATTGGAGCCCCGTAAAATCCGTAATAGAAACAGCACAGATAAAAAGGGGCTGGGAACGGATAGTACGGATACCGAGCTCCGCAAAACAGGCAGCATGGATCCCGAGAAGAAACGTAAATCCACCGATTCGGATGTAGAAATGCACTCAGCTAAATCGGATGCCAAAGATCCGGAACCTAAGAGCGAGACTCCTGCTAAGAAGGAGCGGCGCAAAAAGGCCAAGGAGCGACCGGCACCCGCGCAAGAGCCACCGAAGAAGCTCAACTGGAAGTTAAACTTGCGTATCTTGATCTCTAATTTGTATATGAGCAGCGAGAACCGTCTGCCCGGCGCCTGCGTACCCAAGTGTCTGGACAACACAAGTCAATGTGTGGACAAGCACCGCAACTCCATTCTGCCTGACGCTCCCAGCTTCACAGCCACGCAGGCTTTGCGAACGACGCTGAATGGACATCACTACGACACCTTCCTAGACATCCTGGAGATGATGGTTCTGCAGTGCGTCTATCCCGGCGATAGGATCCTCGAACGGCTCATAGACATGACAATGGTAAGCAGCCTCTCTTGACCCCTACTGCTTTAATACACTCCATTAATTGGATTAAATCACCTTTCAGGTACTTATTGCCAAGGACATAAGCGTCAAAGAGCTGGGCGACATTTACAACAAGTTAATACGTACCTTCTTCCTACTGATCGATGCTTTTCCGCCCTGCTGGACGGCCTTGCGTCCCTACTACCTCAACTTCCTAGGCGTCCAAAAGCCCGACGGACGGGAAAGTCGCTCAAAAAGTGCACCTCCGCAGAAGCTGAAGTTCTATTTGGATCTCCTAGAGGAGAACCTGGCTCAGTGTAGCGACGAGGAGATCCGTGAAAACACAAAGTTCTACGAGAAGTTCGTGTTTAATTACTCCGAAGAGGAGGATGCCAATATGTCACAGGAGACGGTGTTTCTACGCCACGTTCATCAATACGACTGGCTTAGTGGTAAACTCTGCCTGGACGACTTCAAGCGGATGTCGGCTTCTGTGCGCCTGGCCAGAGTATGTGACGTACTAAACATGCTCACCTGGATCCTGGAAATGGAGTTCCTTTTGTGGCTGGACCACAATCGTCTGCGCCAGGCGGAGTCGGAGTTCTTTCAGGAGGACACCAAGCCGTTCGCATCAATCGTCTTCGAAATGTCTGCCAGCACTCGGCTTACCGACATCGTTCGTCAGGTGATGCGACTGTACGGACTGGCGGCGTCCAAGTCCATGTATCCGGAAAGGCAACGGATACTCCAGGTGAGAGCTGGTGAGCAAAAAGGTGTGATATACATTAAATAATGGTTACTCTTCTATCCGCAGCGACTTATAGTCCTCGCTGTGGAGGCCAGCAACACGGCTGAAATAAAGTATGAGGATAACAAGGCGATATATCCGCATCTGGGTCCCCAGACCCGCCTGCTGATCGCTGAATTCTTCAAAATCTTCAAGTCAAAGAATCCCACATTCATCAGCACATACCTGAAGACCATTCCCCAGCTGGCTCAGCCCTATCTACGCTATGAGTTCACCGATCACTTTTTGCAGTTGTTCTACTTTCCTAAGAACGTGCCCTTCGGTCCTGAGAAGGTTTGCGACGAGTTCACAGCTCGCCATTGGTTAAAGTACACGCCACAGAGCGAAATCGAAGAGGATGACGATCAATTGTCGCGGGAAGATTACCTCAAGTTACTGCTAAATGCGCTAAAAGACTACAACGCCTGGTTAAATCTAGCAGGCTTCTGGAAGTGTCTGAAGAACAAACGGCAGGTGCAGCCAATTCAGACGCGGACAAGTAGTCCCCTCGCCACGCCGGTGGGCGTAATAAGCGGCGGCACGGGCAAGATTTTCATGCTGGACGAGATGGAGGAGGAGGTGCACACCTGGAAAAGCCGCATGAACACCAAGGTGATTATTGGCCGGCCCAAGGTGAATCTGCCGATCGCCAGAATCAATACGGCCAAGATGTGCGTTCGGTATGGCGAAGATGTGCGACAGCTGCGCTACCTCCGCCAAGTACTGCAAAATGAGGTGCAGAATCGAGAGGGGATCGATGTTTCCGAGTGGCTGAACTACCTAAATGCCTTCCTGGGCGATGATGAGCCCATGCCACAGCCAGAGCCTTCGTCTGCCAACGAGCCGGAGGCAACCTAAACTATCATACTTTTGTGTATATATTAGACTCATGAAAATTCAAATGATATTTAAGTTATTCTGAGATTATTGAAGGAAGCGCTCAGCGATTTAGTTTCGAATAAGATTCATTATTTTTCCATTTTGTCATTGTTTTCGTTTCTGTATTTCTCCATTGCAAATATATATATATTTATGCGGTAACTAAATACACAATTACGTACACATTTACATATATAAATACAGCTACTACGCTTGTACATACATTAATAAATATATATATGTGTGTATAATTATACAATATTATCGCGTTTTGTTTTTAAGCACTTTTTGCTTGTTTGTTTTTTGCTTTTGCAGTTTTCCATTTGCCTAACGATTCTTGTCTTTGTTCATTGTATGTCTAAATTCTTTGCGGTTTTACATTTTACACATTCCAACTAATCATTATAATTAGGCTCTTAAATGCTAATCTCACTACGTCACTTATAATTGTAATGTATATATTCATAGGCGTGGGAGAGGGCAGGTAGGAAGTGTAGGAAGAGGAAGCTGTGTGTATGTGCAGAGCAGTATTTAATAATTCCTCAGAAGGATGCTCCAAAAAACGGATGCTTAAGCATTGCTCTGTCAGGACCTTGGGATCAGGGCTATCTTGCTTTCAATTCGTTAACACTACACATTTATCAACATTTACTTATTATTGTTTATTCCATATAGGCTAGGTGTTTCGTTCTCTTCCCGGCTTTGCAATTGATTCGTATACATTTAAGAGTTTTCGTTTTCTTTTCATATTTGTTGCGCTTGAAGTCTATAGGAACTTGATGCAGGAGCTGGTGATTTCAACCCCTGCTGCAGGTTTTTAAAGTATTTAAAGAGGCATTCGATCGAGGATCGGAACGGGTATAGTCACAATATAAAGTCAGTCGGGGGAACCAAGGTTAACATGAAAAGGATCAAAGACCTAATAAAAACAAAATGAGTAAGGATCAAAGACCTTATAATAACATGATTAGTAACGTAATACAATACATATATGCACTTGCATTATCTGTCCATACTCACGCTTTAAAGTATAGAAAAATGGTTTACAAATGTCAATTCAAATGACTGTACGTTATTCACCTTCTTATTATAAGGTAATATAGCATAAAAAGTCGCAGTTTGTATTTTTAGAAAATATATTATTTTCTTCTTTTTAAAAAGGGTTTTTGCTTTTGTTTTACAATTTAGTTAAACTCTCTCCTTACCTTCGCCGTCTCTCATCTCTCTATCTCGGTCTTTATACATATACAAATTGGAGTTGGGCTTTTTTGTACAGAACTTATTATCGTAATTAATTAATTAAGAATTAATTAGTTTGCATTTACTTCATTAACTAATATATAGAGAAGGGCTTTGTGTGGGTTCTCCAATCGATGCCAGGATGTAGAAATTAAAACTACCAAGACTAAAATCAATTAAAATTAACAAAACGCAGCTCTTTAAAAACTATGGCTCTTTAGGGACTACGAAATTAGGTTATTTTCGACCACTCTTATCAACTATTAGAATTTTCTTTGCTTGCCTTAATAGCAATTAAATAATTAAGCTAGGAATTTCCGTTAAAACAAATTGAATTTGTGTAGGCCCCAAAGCTCGGTAAAAAATCGCCTCACAAGAATCGGCCACTGCCCGACTAAGTCAGGGAGTGTGTAAAACAATTTCTCTTAAACATTAAGAGCCTAATAAAAACAGTTTAAAAGTGAGTGTTGGATTAACAAATTTAAAATTTGAAACATATTTTGCCACTTTGTGAAGCTTAGCCAGTTCTCACTTTGCTCATTCATCTCAACTTACACGCAATGACTTTTAGCTTATCTTGTGTTAAGTATTTCCTTCTGTGTTAATTTTTTTGTTTTTCGTTTAGCATTATTAAGTTTTCATCTAGAGTTGCTCCTAGTTACAGTTAACGGTTAGGATTATTTTTAAGTGAGTAGAAGAGAGTGTGGTTTATTCTATTTCTGGGTTTGAGTGAATGTGAGAGGTCTTTCTGCTGCCGGGTTCTAGATTTAGCTATAGCTTTAGGGGTTTCTGCCTTGCGGTTCTACTTTCTCTGTGGGATCTCTCTCTGGGTGCTCTGTTTGTTGATTCCGCGCACACCTTTCGCAACACTAGAATTAAAGCCGGCTAAAATACGCGAATTGCGCATTTAATTTTCGTTTCATTTTGAGGCGACGAAATGTCGACAACCAAAGACGAAAGTTCCCCGCTCAAGAGCGACAAAGATGTAGATTTAAACGAACTGGCGAGACAAGAGCTGTTCTCCTCGGATGTGGAAATGGAACCGCTGGAGTCTGATACGGAATTCAAGGAATCCAAACCACCGTTATTGGGTGAACCGGACAGGGTTGAGGAGGTTCCCTTTCGGCGGGATAGCGTAGAGACGGTTCCCTTTCGGAGGGATAGCGAAGAGACAGTTCTCTTTCGGCGGGACAGCGAAGAGACAGTTTCCTTTCGGCGGGACAGCGTGGAGGCGGTTCCCCGATTGGAGCCCCGTAAAATCCGTAATAGAAACAGCACAGATAAAAAGGGGCTGGGAACGGATAGTACGGATACCGAGCTCCGCAAAACAGGCAGCATGGATCCCGAGAAGAAACGTAAATCCACCGATTCGGATGTAGAAATGCACTCAGCTAAATCGGATGCCAAAGATCCGGAACCTAAGAGCGAGACTCCTGCTAAGAAGGAGCGGCGCAAAAAGGCCAAGGAGCGACCGGCACCCGCGCAAGAGCCACCGAAGAAGCTCAACTGGAAGTTAAACTTGCGTATCTTGATCTCTAATTTGTATATGAGCAGCGAGAACCGTCTGCCCGGCGCCTGCGTACCCAAGTGTCTGGACAACACAAGTCAATGTGTGGACAAGCACCGCAACTCCATTCTGCCTGACGCTCCCAGCTTCACAGCCACGCAGGCTTTGCGAACGACGCTGAATGGACATCACTACGACACCTTCCTAGACATCCTGGAGATGATGGTTCTGCAGTGCGTCTATCCCGGCGATAGGATCCTCGAACGGCTCATAGACATGACAATGGTAAGCAGCCTCTCTTGACCCCTACTGCTTTAATACACTCCATTAATTGGATTAAATCACCTTTCAGGTACTTATTGCCAAGGACATAAGCGTCAAAGAGCTGGGCGACATTTACAACAAGTTAATACGTACCTTCTTCCTACTGATCGATGCTTTTCCGCCCTGCTGGACGGCCTTGCGTCCCTACTACCTCAACTTCCTAGGCGTCCAAAAGCCCGACGGACGGGAAAGTCGCTCAAAAAGTGCACCTCCGCAGAAGCTGAAGTTCTATTTGGATCTCCTAGAGGAGAACCTGGCTCAGTGTAGCGACGAGGAGATCCGTGAAAACACAAAGTTCTACGAGAAGTTCGTGTTTAATTACTCCGAAGAGGAGGATGCCAATATGTCACAGGAGACGGTGTTTCTACGCCACGTTCATCAATACGACTGGCTTAGTGGTAAACTCTGCCTGGACGACTTCAAGCGGATGTCGGCTTCTGTGCGCCTGGCCAGAGTATGTGACGTACTAAACATGCTCACCTGGATCCTGGAAATGGAGTTCCTTTTGTGGCTGGACCACAATCGTCTGCGCCAGGCGGAGTCGGAGTTCTTTCAGGAGGACACCAAGCCGTTCGCATCAATCGTCTTCGAAATGTCTGCCAGCACTCGGCTTACCGACATCGTTCGTCAGGTGATGCGACTGTACGGACTGGCGGCGTCCAAGTCCATGTATCCGGAAAGGCAACGGATACTCCAGGTGAGAGCTGGTGAGCAAAAAGGTGTGATATACATTAAATAATGGTTACTCTTCTATCCGCAGCGACTTATAGTCCTCGCTGTGGAGGCCAGCAACACGGCTGAAATAAAGTATGAGGATAACAAGGCGATATATCCGCATCTGGGTCCCCAGACCCGCCTGCTGATCGCTGAATTCTTCAAAATCTTCAAGTCAAAGAATCCCACATTCATCAGCACATACCTGAAGACCATTCCCCAGCTGGCTCAGCCCTATCTACGCTATGAGTTCACCGATCACTTTTTGCAGTTGTTCTACTTTCCTAAGAACGTGCCCTTCGGTCCTGAGAAGGTTTGCGACGAGTTCACAGCTCGCCATTGGTTAAAGTACACGCCACAGAGCGAAATCGAAGAGGATGACGATCAATTGTCGCGGGAAGATTACCTCAAGTTACTGCTAAATGCGCTAAAAGACTACAACGCCTGGTTAAATCTAGCAGGCTTCTGGAAGTGTCTGAAGAACAAACGGCAGGTGCAGCCAATTCAGACGCGGACAAGTAGTCCCCTCGCCACGCCGGTGGGCGTAATAAGCGGCGGCACGGGCAAGATTTTCATGCTGGACGAGATGGAGGAGGAGGTGCACACCTGGAAAAGCCGCATGAACACCAAGGTGATTATTGGCCGGCCCAAGGTGAATCTGCCGATCGCCAGAATCAATACGGCCAAGATGTGCGTTCGGTATGGCGAAGATGTGCGACAGCTGCGCTACCTCCGCCAAGTACTGCAAAATGAGGTGCAGAATCGAGAGGGGATCGATGTTTCCGAGTGGCTGAACTACCTAAATGCCTTCCTGGGCGACGATGAGCCCATGCCACAGCCAGAGCCTTCGTCTGCCAACGAGCCGGAGGCAACCTAAACTATCATACTTTTGTGTATATATTAGACTCATGAAAATTCAAATGATATTTAAGTTATTCTGAGATTATTGAAGGAAGCGCTCAGCGATTTAGTTTCGAATAAGATTCATTATTTTTCCATTTTGTCATTGTTTTCGTTTCTGTATTTCTCCATTGCAAATATATATATATTTATGCGGTAACTAAATACACAATTACGTACACATTTACATATATAAATACAGCTACTACGCTTGTACATACATTAATAAATATATATATGTGTGTATAATTATACAATATTATCGCGTTTTGTTTTTAAGCACTTTTTGCTTGTTTGTTTTTTGCTTTTGCAGTTTTCCATTTGCCTAACGATTCTTGTCTTTGTTCATTGTATGTCTAAATTCTTTGCGGTTTTACATTTTACACATTCCAACTAATCATTATAATTAGGCTCTTAAATGCTAATCTCACTACGTCACTTATAATTGTAATGTATATATTCATAGGCGTGGGAGAGGGCAGGTAGGAAGTGTAGGAAGAGGAAGCTGTGTGTATGTGCAGAGCAGTATTTAATAATTCCTCAGAAGGATGCTCCAAAAAACGGATGCTTAAGCATTGCTCTGTCAGGACCTTGGGATCAGGGCTATCTTGCTTTCAATTCGTTAACACTACACATTTATCAACATTTACTTATTATTGTTTATTCCATATAGGCTAGGTGTTTCGTTCTCTTCCCGGCTTTGCAATTGATTCGTATACATTTAAGAGTTTTCGTTTTCTTTTCATATTTGTTGCGCTTGAAGTCTATAGGAACTTGATGCAGGAGCTGGTGATTTCAACCCCTGCTGCAGGTTTTTAAAGTATTTAAAGAGGCATTCGATCGAGGATCGGAACGGGTATAGTCACAATATAAAGTCAGTCGGGGGAACCAAGGTTAACATGAAAAGGATCAAAGACCTAATAAAAACAAAATGAGTAAGGATCAAAGACCTTATAATAACATGATTAGTAACGTAATACAATACATATATGCACTTGCATTATCTGTCCATACTCACGCTTTAAAGTATAGAAAAATGGTTTACAAATGTCAATTCAAATGACTGTACGTTATTCACCTTCTTATTATAAGGTAATATAGCATAAAAAGTCGCAGTTTGTATTTTTAGAAAATATATTATTTTCTTCTTTTTAAAAAGGGTTTTTGCTTTTGTTTTACAATTTAGTTAAACTCTCTCCTTACCTTCGCCGTCTCTCATCTCTCTATCTCGGTCTTTATACATATACAAATTGGAGTTGGGCTTTTTTGTACAGAACTTATTATCGTAATTAATTAATTAAGAATTAATTAGTTTGCATTTACTTCATTAACTAATATATAGAGAAGGGCTTTGTGTGGGTTCTCCAATCGATGCCAGGATGTAGAAATTAAAACTACCAAGACTAAAATCAATTAAAATTAACAAAACGCAGCTCTTTAAAAACTATGGCTCTTTAGGGACTACGAAATTAGGTTATTTTCGACCACTCTTATCAACTATTAGAATTTTCTTTGCTTGCCTTAATAGCAATTAAATAATTAAGCTAGGAATTTCCGTTAAAACAAATTGAATTTGTGTAGGCCCCAAAGCTCGGTAAAAAATCGCCTCACAAGAATCGGCCACTGCCCGACTAAGTCAGGGAGTGTGTAAAACAATTTCTCTTAAACATTAAGAGCCTAATAAAAACAGTTTAAAAGTGAGTGTTGGATTAACAAATTTAAAATTTGAAACATATTTTGCCACTTTGTGAAGCTTAGCCAGTTCTCACTTTGCTCATTCATCTCAACTTACACGCAATGACTTTTAGCTTATCTTGTGTTAAGTATTTCCTTCTGTGTTAATTTTTTTGTTTTTCGTTTAGCATTATTAAGTTTTCATCTAGAGTTGCTCCTAGTTACAGTTAACGGTTAGGATTATTTTTAAGTGAGTAGAAGAGAGTGTGGTTTATTCTATTTCTGGGTTTGAGTGAATGTGAGAGGTCTTTCTGCTGCCGGGTTCTAGATTTAGCTATAGCTTTAGGGGTTTCTGCCTTGCGGTTCTACTTTCTCTGTGGGATCTCTCTCTGGGTGCTCTGGATTGGTTGCTTGGCGCCATTTCGGTTAGCTACTTTTGAAGCGTTTGCTATACATTCATCTTGGTAAGTTCTTACGTCACACATTTAAACCTTAACAACAACAACAATGTTTCGCTACAATTAAACAACTAACAACAACGTAAGCGTACACACCAAAACATGGCTCACTTCTGGCTCGATGATAGCTGCTCCTCTTGCTGCCCATGCTCAATATCCTCATCCTCCTCATGCTGCTCTACATCCTCCTCATCATCCACATTCTCCTCCTTGAGCATGTACTCGAGGAGCAGCTCATCGACTCATCCCTCGCGCTGCGTCGACGCCGCCGCTGACGTTGTGGCTGTCGTCACGCCATTCGATGGCGATTCGACCTTAATCACTCCCAGCTGCTGCAGTTCCTCGCGTGTATGCTGTATCCGGCCCACCACCACACCGCCCATGGTCACAAAGCTACCGTCCGCTGTCACCGCGCCCAGCTGCATTGCACCGGACAAATCCCCAAGAGCGGCCACATTAAAGTGGTGGTGGTGGTGCGGCGAGCCGTCCTGCAGATGCTGCTGCTGTGGCTGCTGCTGGGACGGTGTCGGAGGCTGCTGCTGGTGGTGCTGGTGCGATTGCTGTTGATGTTGCTGGTGGTGGTGGTGTCCTGCCAGGACAACACTACTGGGCGGAGGCGGAGGCTGCTGCTGGTGATGGTGTTGCTGCTGCTGGTGCTGATGGTGGTGTGCCGCCAACGCCATCCGTCCTAGTCACCCTTCCTCCTCCTCCGTTTTGATCTTGACAGGAACGTAGACCTTGTCCATCACATGAATCTTTATATGGTTGTTGAGCGTGCTGGACTGGCGGAACTGCTTCTTGCAGATGACACACTCGAAGGGCTTTTCACCTGACATAAAAAAAGAGAGATGTGCACGATAGCATATAAACTCCGGCTGGCCTGGTGGCCACTACTCACCCGTGTGGATCTTCACGTGGTTGGCCAAGGTGCTCAGCTGACGGAAATGCTTAGGACAGTAGTTGCAGTTATACGGCTTCTCGCCCGTATGGATCTTCAGATGGTTCGTCAGCGTCGACGATTGACGGAAGGTCTTATCACAAACGTTGCATTTGTAGGGCTTCTCGCCAGTGTGGATCTTCACGTGGTTGGTCAGTGTGCTCAGCTGCCGAAATCGACGATCGCACACGGTACAGTGGAAGGGTTTCTCCAGCTCGCGGGGTCCTCCGCCGCCGGCGTTACCATTGCTACCAGGCCCACCCTCGCCAGGATGCTCATGCCCGTTTGTGCCCAGATAGTGATCACTGGACATCGTCGGACTGTGCGAGGTCAGATGTGCCAGGTGCGGTGGCTGAGACTGTTGCGGTGGCGCTGGTTGCTGCTGCTCGGCTGCTGCCGCCTGGGCCGCCGCTGCCTGGGCAGCTGCCATGGCCGCTGCTTGAGCTGCGCTATGCGCCTCCGCCGAGATCCCGCTCAGGTGCATCTGGAAAGGCAAGGGCAATTCCGTCGGCGGTGGCGGCGGTGCCGAGGGCGGACCACTGGGCTGCTGTTGTTGCTGCTGTTGTTGTTGCTGCTGGTGATGCTGGTGCTGTTGCTGCTGAACTGACGCCGCCGCTGCTGCCATGTGGCTGGGATGCGTGGCCTGGGTAACCGTATCATTGTTATTATTGTTAGCAATGGTTGTTTGGGGCTGGGTGGCCACAATGACGATATCGCAGTTACTGCTCATCGCAGTGGCAGCGGCATGGGCATGGGGCAGGCTTTTGATATGCATCATGAACTGCTCGCTGGGATCGGGTGAGGGGTTTGGATTTGGACTTGGATTTGGTGCTGGATCTGCTGGTGGCGGGTTAACTGGATCTCCGCCTGTGGCTTGAACAGAAAGCTGGCTAACGAACTAAGATCGATGCTTCAAAAATGCCACGACATGGTCATCGCTTCTCTGTTGGTGTTGTTGTTGCTAGTGCCTGGAATGGAGATCGGATCGGAGATTGGGTTTTAGTAAAGAGTGGCGGCCTGGCCTTTTGGTATGCAAAAATATGTTAGGAATTCCCAGACACACGAAAAATACCTAACTGCGAAATTATAAATCTAAATTATTCAATAGCTGACACACTTCCCCAACTGACTGGTCGCCTCGTTCCTCCCCTGTGCCTCTGTTTCTCACTCTATCTCTCTCTCGGCGCTAATCCCCGCCAGAATTCTTTCTTTCTGCCTTTTTTGGGTGTTTTCCCAAGGGCATAAATTATGAAGCATACCGATTATGCATTTTTAAAATCAAAATAAATAAGCGCTGGGCGCTCTTCAAAATGCATGTGAAATATTTTAGAGCGCTTTTGGTTTTTACGTCCGCTCGGACAGGTTACCTGCCCTTTATCCACAGTGGACACTCGGCAACAGTGAACGAATTTCATGATTAACTTTAGCAAATATGAACTCAAGGGAGCAGGCACTAGACGAGGTCATAAGAATTATATGTACCAAATTCGGAGACAATATTCTTTAGGTTTGTTGCACATAAGGTTTGTTTTACATCTCGGTAATCTCAAATAGCCCGGACTCTATAGGGTAGCCTTGAATTTCTGTAGAAAGGATTTATAACAGATCATAAATAGACTTTCATTGAATGGGTTTTCTTAGCCAATAGTCTTTAACTTTAATTAGTTCACCCTAGCGAACTTCCACTGTACCTACACACACACAAACACATACACCCTTGAGCGCTCAGGTATCTCTCTTCGTTTTTTTTAGTGGAACTGACAGCGTGTTACTTTCTCGCAAATTACATGTGTTTTCCCAGCAACTTGATCAAAATCCCGCCGTGCTGGCCAACTGGAAACATCAGTGGACCACGGGCAACACAAGGATTTTCTTTTGATTACAATCTCACTATTTTTGGGCGGGCTTTTGGTGAAAAATTTTCCCTTTTTCAAAAGCAGTTTTTCCACTAACACGTTGCCTTTGCTCCACCACAAGCCCCTTTGGCCCACGAGCCACAACCACTTTCAATCGCACACACAGACACCAGAGCAGCTCACACATGCACTCACACGCGCACACACACTGTCGCGTACTCTCAGTGTAAAAGCTCTTTTGAGGTTAGGAGACTTTTAATTTTTGGAGCTCAGTGGCCCCATCAAAATGTTCAATGTTTTCCACAGGGCCCTTTAACAAATCCTCCAAACTCCGGGATCCACTTGGGTTTGTATTTGGTGGCTGGCATGCACAAATGCGCACACCTCGCGGCGCCCACACATTGACCTACCTTTCCATTTTGTGGCTGTGCTCTGTGGGGCCTTTTGGTTTAGATTTCCCCCCGTTTTACATCATTTTCCGCATTCGATTCGGTTTGGGGTTTGGTAATCGGGAACGGTGCTCGCGCTTCGCTATCGATGATCGAAAAGGGGGCCTCACAGCATTATCCGCGGCTGGTTATCCATTTATAAAAAGCGTATAAATGTTAGAAAAATAGTACAAATATTTCTTTTCTTTTTTTTTTACTGTTTCGCGTACAAAATAGACGCGAACTGAACTGGTGCAAATTGGGGATGGGCAATATTTGGGGGACCTGTTACTTGCTCACAAGTATCGTGTCACGCTTCGTGGTCGTGACTCGCTGCGAAAGTTGTGCTTTTTCGAGGGCTTATCGAGCGACAATAGATTCCTTGAATCCATATATGTTTAAATTTGCAGAGAAATCAATAAAGTCGGTAAATATATAGTCATTTATAGTCAAACAATATTCGATTTATTTCAAAATTTTGTTTACATTTCTGAAGATGTAAAATCATCGATGTTTCTAAAAATGTCAAGGAATCGACACCTAACCACTTATGGTATTCGGATAATGAAATCTTTATATACCAATATTTTTACTTGACCAATTTTATTGACAAAACTAAGTTTAAAATAAACCAAAACCATAAGCCCAAAACGCTGAAATTTCAATAAGAAAAGCTTATCATTTCATATTAATTTTTATTAGGCTTAATGTAAAATATTTTAATAAAATGTATATATTTAATGGTGTTGATAATGTAATCTCTTTTAAACTTTGTAAGAATTTTTTCCGAATTATTTACTATAACAAAGTCAGATGCTAATGCCGGAATACCAATGGTCAAGAACTTAAATCTTTGTGGCATGGGAACTGGTTCCAGTTCAGCCATTCACTTGTGAACGTTTTAAGTTTGTCATTGGGGTATTTTTCGCCCGCCCAAATACGGTAATACTTCCCGGTGCAAAACTTAATGGCAATTTGCTTTATTGTTTATTATTCTCGGTAAATTGTACTTTAAAACCAAATGCAATTGCTTAGAAAAGTGCTGCCGCTGTTAGTGCGTGTTTTATAAAATCGTGCAGACCCGCGACGACGCCTGCGGCTGGTCACCATGTCCGTTGCTTAAACTCAGCTCGCTGTTCACCTTGTTTGTGTTCTTGTTGTGCAGCGCAGCCGGCGGACGGGTTTCATCTGTTGGCGAAAAGAGTTGATTTCGGTGAGTCTCTTTTACGGGAACAGCTAAGATTTCCTATGCTTACCTTCTATTCTGACCGCTTTTTCATTGCGGCACGAGAGCCTGTCCATCATCTGTTGCATGAAGCCCTTGGCATCCTCCTCCTTTTGCTGAACTGCCGCCTGCACGTGGGAGTTGGCGCGCATCTGCATGGCCCGAATATCGTCCTGCATCGCTTTCTTGCTCCGCTCCACCACCGCGTCGAGGGGATCTTCGTAGGGATTGCTCGAAGGCTCAAAGGGATTGCTTGAGTCGAAGATATTGCCATTTCCATTGCCATTTCCTGTTGAATTGTGGATCGAATTGACGGAGGCTGTGGTCCGCTCATCCTCCTCGCCGGAACCCAGCGTGGTAGTCGTCTTTGGGGCTCCCTCTTTCGAGGACATGTCGGGCGTTGAAACTGGTGTGGTTTGCGGATCTGCCTCGCGGGCCGCTTTTATTTGAAACAAAGACGAGATGTTCTCCTTGGCGCCCAGGACCTCGTTGGAAATCTTACTAGTCACCGAGTCCATGGCCTTGCCCATGGAATCCTTTGTGTCGGACGCTGCCTTGGCAGCATTGCTGCCCACCTGGCCCACAGTCTGCATAGCATTGCTGCCCGCCTGCTCCACGGCGTGCATGGCACTGCTGCCTGCTTGCTCCACGGCGTGCATGGCATCGCTGGCCATTCGCTGGGCACCTTTCCCTGCTGCCCCTACAGCCCCACCCACGGCATCAACTGCTCCTCGAGCTCCGGTGGCCATCCGCTCACCGGCAGCCTCCATGGCATCTTTGGCGCCGTACGCCGCCTTCCTCACCGCCGTCTGAATGGAGCTGCGGGTGGAGTCCATGGCCTCCACTGCTTCTTCACCGGCCTTGGCCGCCGCCTCCTCCGTTTTTGTTACGATTTTGTCCACTTGCTCGTCTACGTGGTGCAGCATCTGCTCGCCATCCGATTCCAGCTCCTCCAGCGAACTCCCACGCGGAGTGTCTGGCATTTGTTCCTCCACCTTGGCCGTGACATCCACGCCGTTGTTGATGAACCGAATTTCGTTGATCACTTTGCTGCTGTCCTTTGAATCGTTGGTCGTGGTTATCTCCACGGCCAGTTGCTCGTCCTCTTCTGTGGGTGGTGTGGGTGTATTGACCTGAATGGTTGCCGCAGGAACCTCAGCCACTGTCTCCAAGCTGTCCACCAGCTCCGGCGAGGTTCGGTCCAGATGATCGTGATCCATGGCCGCCTCATATGAGAAATTTCTTATGGGTGTCTTTTTGATCGTTTGCGGTGTGCTGGAATCACTGCTCTCGGGATATGGCGTTCGTGGACGTAGCAGCTTCTCCTGGCTTCCAGCCTTCGCCGCGGTTGCCATCGGCTCTTGAGGATTTACTGAGTGCATCGAATGCGCGGATTTGTTGGATCTTAAAGATTCCGTTGGGGACTTCGGGGGCGTAGGTGTGTGTGTTGGGGGCGTGGGCATTTTCTGCATGGTCTCTATGGCTCTTAGAGGAGATTCTGTGGTCTTAGCTAGTGATGATTTAATGGGAGATTCCATAGATTTACCAGCTAGTTCTTTGCTTGCCATTGCTTTTATTGGAGATTCCATCGGTTCTGTGGGCTCCATTGACTCAATTTTCTGATGATTTTTGTGGGCTGAATGATCCTCCAGTTCCTTTTGCTCATCATTTGCAGAATCTTCCTTTTCTTGCTGCTTATTTCCAGAAGAAACTGCAGATTTATCCTCCATTTGGTGCGCTTTCTCTTTGGAAGGACTGCTTACCATTTCCTCATTGCCATTTATCTCTTTAAGTTCCTTGGTTTTAGACTCTTCGCTGTTTACATTCGCATTTGTATCCTGGGACGCAGATGTTTCCTCTTTTTCCTTTGGTTCCTCCTCTGTGCTTAAATGCTTCACTGCCTCCATGGCTGCCGCTGTACCCGCACCGGCTGCAGCTGCCAACCCTCCCACAGTGGCTGCCATCGATCGCTCCTCGGCTTCCTCCACTCCCTTTTGCTTGGTTAGACTCCTGCCACTGTGTGACCGTACATGCTCCTCGTTGCCATTCGCATCCGGAGGCTGCAGAGCGAAGCTACGGCTTGTATAACGCTGAGGGTCCGCCGAGCCACCAACCGTAGCCGATGACATCGAGGACCGTGGTATGCCCTGCACGAGTATGTGCTGATCCCCGACAGCGATGTCCAGCAGCCGGAGATTCTTGAACTTGGATATTTCGCGGAAGGTCTTCAGGTGATGACCGCTCTCCGAGAACGTGGTAAAGAACTTGTTCGCCTTGCTGAGGACAGCATAGAAGGAGAATCCCTTGAGGAGCTTCCAAATTGGACCGTTCTCCTCGCTGTCGTAGTCGTAGAAGCGCTGGAAGACCAGGCTCTTATTCCGCACAGACTCAAAGCTTCGGTAGATGCTGCCCACATTGGTTACAATATAAACCTCGCTGGTCTTGGAGATGTGCATGAAGATGATCTGCTCCGTGGGTGGCAGGTTCTTCTGCAGCTCGGTGAAGCGCGGAAAGACAAATTCATTGAGGTGACCGGTGAGGAAGAGGTTTCCGCTGGCGGTCAGCACTAAAGTGGACTCTGGTCCACAGGCGAACTGTTGTACCTTTGCATCCAGACGAATCTCCACAGGATGTCCATCGTAGTCTGCCTCAAGTTCACCCAGCTGCTGGCGGGCATTAGATCCGCATCCAATGAGACGTCCGGTGCCTTTTGTAAGGGATTTTTATTAGTCGGAACCAACTTATTTAGACTAGATTTCTGTTTCCTGTCTTTAGTACTTACTGGTTAACACAGCGAAATGCTCATTTCCCGCCTGGACCGCCATAAAGTTGTCCGTTTCCTCGCTCTTCGATAGGTAATCGTCGAACTCCTCCAAACGAAAAGGCTTACGGATGATGGTGCAGGTCTGCTGCTCCACCATGGCGGTGGTAAAGTGCTGAGCCACATGCGTGTCTTCGGGAAATATGTTGCGACCCGTAAAGAAGATCTCGTTGGAGTCTGTGGAGATGGAGGTTTTTTCTTATATTTGTTGAAATTCAATCGGGGAAAAGAAACAATTAAGATTTTGCAAAGGTTTCCCATCTATATTTATAAAAAAAACAAGCCGGAGCCATATAAAGTAACCTTTCTCTTTAAACTCTTTTTACTTTCTAAAATATATATTTTTAAAAAAGCAAATTCTTATTTTCAAGTAAGCTTTTTAATCTTGGATATAAAGGCTTACTATAGCCTTTTAAAGTTTTAGCAATGATAAAAAAACAAAAAAGTTTGTCAAAGGAGCATGCCGAAGTTGTATTAAGCTACCTTGAGCTTTCAAGATCTCCTTCATATCCTAAAAATAAATATTTTAACCAGCTAACAGGCTTTCTCTAAATACATATGTTGAGGCTCTGAAAAATATGCAATCATTATGCTTCCTTAATAGAAAATAATAGGATTCGAAGCTAACCATGCTGTAAGCCTGTATGTAATTCAATTACCAAATTGCTGGCATTGACAAACTTTTGCAGTAACTCAAACTTTCTGTTGGGCCCCAATTTCTTTAGTGGCACATTTCTCTCCAAAGTTAACCAACTTCCAGGACTGCTATTTGTTGATTCACTCACGTGTCAGCATCACGGCCCAGTTGTTGCCAAAGGCGGCGTCACAAATCTTTAATCCCAGTGTTTTCAAGGCCTTCACACAGGTGGGCTTGGTCACAATGTCACCGTTGTTGTTGCTGCTGTTGCTGGCAGCCTTCCTGCTCCCGGAGGCGCCTCCGTGTCCACCAATCCCGAGCTGGCCATAGTGGTTCTCGCCCCAAACAAATAGCCGGCCAGATTCTGTAATTGATAAGAGCGCGGTTTGACATTTGCTTTTGGCTTTCCTTTCAGCCTTTCGACGGCTTTTGTTTTTATTTCTGCTTCTGTTTTCTGTTTCTGTTTTATTATGTTTGCGGGTGGTGGTTCCCCTTTCTTGACTTTTATTGATTGAGAAAGTGTGCGAGTGTGTGTGTGTAGGTCCTGTAGTTCCTCAATTCCCCAGTCCCTCAATCGCTCAAACTGTTTAACTGCTCCCCCGCAGAAGTTAACGCCTCAATTACGATTGCCGCCTCGTTGTTCTAGGTTCAACATTTCGGTCTAGGAATTGGATTCGGTTTCGGTTTATTTTTTTTGGGGGTTTACTTCGTGAGTTTGCTCCATATTTCAGGTATTTTAACGCCGCGTCTGACCCCATTAGTTGTCGATGTTGCCATGATTTGAAGTGCTCGGTGCTGGTCAGCTCTCTTTCTAGCGCGGATTTTAAGCTTATGTAATGCGGGGTTAAATGTGGGACAAATGTGTACTACTACACCGTGAAATAATTATGTTATTCATTAATTAAAACTGATAAGTTCTTAGTTAATTAACAGAAATGAGTTGAGCTGGCTGAACTAGTCACAAAAGCTGCTCTAGGAACTCCATCTAAAAAATATAGGAACTACCTTTCTTCTTGGTTTTAAAGTGTTTGGGAATGAATGTGTAACCTAAGGACCTAAATATAATACCCCTTTATTTATTGATTTAAATAGTTTTCGCCACTTTTCTATAAGTTAAGTTCTAATAAGTTGTATGAAACTTGTAAAAGATAATTTTCTGATTGATTTAAAGAGGTATTAAGTCTCAGTAAATATCTTATATCTCTTTGAGTGTAGTTTTCGGGTTAAAATATTTAAACCACCCCCTTGGAAATACACCTAATCCCTGGTCAGCAATTTGTCCGGTTGCAAAAGCCGGGCTTTGTAGACGTAATTTGGTAATTCAATGAACGAAACGAAACGTTACAAGACTGGGCCAACAGAAGAAAGTGAAAGTGCCCCGGGGCGTTCAGCTTATTATTATTTAAAGGAAATTGCACCAAACATGCAATGCAGCACCGACGGAGGCGGCGTCCGGCACAGACAACCAACTTTGACTTGGCCACTTGACCGGTGGAGCTTCGGTGGCAGGGATTGGACTTTGGCGGATTGGGGTCACGTAGTAGTTACCACAAATGACAGCGCTCTGATGGGGACCGGATATCAGGCGCTTCACCGGATCGTTCTTGATGTAGAAGTAACTCTGCGTATTCTCCGCCAGATGGGATTTGCCCAGGGTAAATATGGCTCCGCTGCTAGGGATGTCCATGATGTGTGCCGCTGTCTAGTCTCTTTTTTAATTGGATTTAATATATGCAATAGATTTGTGTGAAACTTTATTATTGATTTTAGTATTAGGACTGCGTTTTAGCATATTTTTTAATTCGCCGGCTGCAGTTGCAAATGTCTATTGGTGCCGCACACAAACATATTGGTACACAACAAAACCATTTGGAGTTGCGTGCTCCGGGCTGCTCCGGCTTCCCGATTCCCGAGGCGGAAATGCGGCTGGACAAGGGAGAAGGCGAGAGAGAGAGAGCTATGTGGCCGGCACTTGCGGTCAGTCGGACGATTCAGCGCGTACTGGTCAGCGAGGACTAGGTCTAGCTAGGACTAGGACTAGCTGGCTGTCCACTAGCCACGACTATAGCACACTCACACACTCGGGAGCTCGGGCAAAACCCGCGGCAGTGGGGGTGCCATCAATATTGGGCCATTTGAGAGCCGGCCCTTATAAGTATGCTACGAGTGAGTGAGTTTCCCGGGCAAAGAGTGAGTGAGTCACCCTACTCCTCCGGCCACGAATTTCCCGAGTTAAGTTATTCCGTGCGCCAAAGAGCGAGTATGGGAATTCGGGTTTTTCTTTATTTCTTTTTTTTCCCTCACTCTCTTTGGTATTTATGGCATTTTGTGAGTAATGTTTGCAAATCTCTCGGAATACGAGCGGCCACGTTAAAAATAACATTATTATATATGTGACTGGGGAACTGGGTTGCTTTTCCATTTTCCCTTTCATTCCCCCATCCCCGGACCTGTTGACATTTGCATAGAACGGAGTGTCCAAGCCGAAATATATTCGCCACATTTCTTCTGAAAAGTTAATTAATTCGTTTTGGGCCTCTTTGACTTTCGGTGGAAGCCGGGACTGAAGCTTAGCCAAAATTGGATAACGATTTTTATGGCGGCGACGTCATAAAAATAGGGCCAAGTTGCCACAAGTCGCCGTAGTCTCTCCACATTTGCTGACTTTCGCAGACAATTTGCTATAATTAATTGATTTCTGTTAACATCCAAAGAAGGACTTTCATTGCATTTACCTTACTTACTTATGCAATAAATGCGTTGCGTTGTCCGTCAACTGAGAAAGGCCAAAGGTGTCCAGAGAACGGGCACTGGGGAGAGCAATAATAGTGAGGTGTTGCAGGGATTTGGTTCAACATGAGAAGTATAATAAAACTAGGACAAACCTTCGTCTTTTATGCCTGACAATGATACTTATACACCTTTTAATACATATTCTACTCACAGTTTTCAGGTATTCTACTAAACTTTGAACACAATTGCTTATAGAGCTTAAAACTTCAAGTCAAGACCTCAAATATAAGACCTTATTTCAACTTAACGCAAAACTTCTTCTTCTCCTAGTCCGAGTTAAAGAAGCTCAACTGTTTCTATATGTACATTCGTCCTGTTTTCCTTTTATTGGAGTCTCCATATTCTATTCTGCAATGCAATGGGCCGCCAGGAGGATTCAGTTTGGTGTCTAAACTTTCCATATAATATGTGCGCCAGCTCGTTGCCTTATTCATGTGAGAGCCGAGCCGTGAGCCGTGAGACGTGAGCCTTTCGAGCATGTACTCCAATGTCTATGTAATTTATGAATCCCCTAACAATGTTGTTTGGCCTGCAAACTGCAATTGCGCGCCTTGTTCGCGCCGCTTTGTCTCGCCTTTTGCGCGCTCTTCCGGATGCGGGTTACGGGGTCCTGTTGGGGCTGTTGCATGCGCCAGTTTGTCCAGAGGGGGAATCCCCGATGGTTCCGCCCTCAGTTTGCTGACTTGGCAAAAAGGTGAATCTTGGCTCATGCAAATGCTGCCCCACTCGTTGAACTGAGCGTTGAACTCAAGCGTTGGTCCTTTGTGGTTTTTGCGCCTATTTTTAGTAGCCTTTAAGTCGTCGGCGTGGTAGTCGTTGTGACAATTAGCCGGAGTCCATTGAACCCCGGTTCGATTGGGTCAAGATGTTCCGGATGACGTAAGGTGGAGGAGAAGGCGGATCAACTAAAAAAAAACCGAACCGGCAAGGGTCAGCTGCCGGAACTCTCAAGCGATGTGTCAATAGGTTGACAAATCTATTGGATTGGTAGTTAACGGGCCAAAGGTTGATTGAACCTGCCATCGGTGGACTCTTCTCATCCCCAACAATCCCGGGTTCAAAGCAATCGATCCGGGAGGCAAGAAGGGTTCCCTGGCCCCAAAAATAAACGAAATTAGTTGACCTTCAGAAAGCCCAGGACCCCTGCTGTTGTGTGTGTGCTTTCTTGGGATTTGTGTGTTGGTCTTTTCTTGGACCGCCCAGAAAGTGGCGTGCGCTTTTCTTTTCATTTCATTTTATTACCTTGCCTCAAAGCTTGACCCACACCTATACACACACACATTCATTTACACCCTCACCTTCGTTTTGGTGAGGGAAAATGGCAATCATTGTGTAAATTGTTTACCTGGCCAGGCCAGGCGCAAGGTGCAAAAAGGAAAACTTGTTATTTTCCTGCGAGGCTTCTTGGAATGCTCACTCCCCAAATCCCTCCGCTGCCTCCTACTGCTTTCCTCAATGTCAAGCGATATAGGCACGTTCCTGCAATTTAGTTTTGGTTGCTTCACGTGGTGATTATTTGTTGTCCTGGACACAAACAAAAAAAAATATATATATAGGAGAAAAAAATGTGAAATTAGCTGGGAATTAGACGATTGTCACGCCCACGTAGCTGGAGGAAAGGAAACGAAAGGAATAAACCAAATGTAGTCTACTTCTCAGCTTTCTTTAATTACAGAAACCTCCCTAAAATGAGCGACGAAGGTGAAAGTAAGTCGGAGCACGAGGTGGAACTCAATGCTAAGCCTGAGACAGAGGAAAGCAAGCAGGAAGTTGAGTTGCCGGATAAGCCAACCACAGCTCCGGTCTCCAGTTCGGATAATAATGAGACAGCGAAGCCAGAGGAGGAAACTCCTTCCCAGGATTTTGCCGCCTACGAAGAGCACATGACCTATGACCCGGATGGTGAAGCCATCTATACGGATCCCAGCACCAAGCAGAAGTACAAGTGGTGCACCAAGCAAAACAATTGGCAACCACTGAACGATGCCACCGATGGCGGGGATCCCTACGAGAACGAGCACTACAAATGGTGTCCTGAGAGCCAACAGTGGCTGCCCAAGAAGAAGCAGGAAACGGAGACGGAGCACTACAAGTGGGATGAGGAGCAGCAAAAGTGGTTGCCCAAGCAAAAGCAAGGGCCGGGTCAGGATGTGGTCTACGGGGTGGATGAGAATGGTGATCGTACTTACACCGACAAGGATGGCGCGGTGTTCTTCTGGGATGCGACCAAGAATGCTTGGTTTCCTAAGATTGACGATGACTTTATGGCTCGCTATCAAATGAACTATGGATTCATTGACAACACTTCGGCGGGTGAGAAGGAGAAGGCCGAGAAGGAAGCGGCCGAGGCCAAGAGAAAGGAGGAGGAACTCAAGCGGATGACAGCCGAGGCAGAGGCGGCCATGGCCAAGGATAGCGAAGCTTCGACAACGGTAGCTCCCACAGGCAAGCGAAAGATTCAGGAGCCTCCAAGTGAGTAAAGAAACCTTACTAAGGATTACATTACAATAGTGTCTCCTTTGCAGAATGGTTCGAGATGGATCCCACGCAGAACACCAAGGTGTATGTCTCGAATCTGCCGCTGGACATCACCATGGATGAGTTTGCCGATCTGATGGGCAAGTGCGGCATGGTGATGCGGGATCCCCAGACCCAGAAGTTCAAGCTGAAGCTGTATGCCGAGAAGGATGGCCAAATCAAGGGCGATGGCCTCTGTGACTATATCAAGGTGAGTGAATTAAGAGCAAACAAAAGCAGCTTTGGTTTTCTGTTTTCTTTATTTTTTTTTTGTTTCAAACTTTATTTTCTTTATTTTTTGTTTTTATCTTTACTTCTGTTGTTTGCTGGCTTAACTAGATTAATCTTGCATAAATATTATATGGTAATTTTATCATATGTTTTCGTATTTTCTGTTGCTGCCCTTCATCTGATTTCTTTGCTTACGTTTCGCTGACTATTTAGGTTTATTCGCATTCATTTCTCCGTGTTTCTTGTTTTGTTTTTGCAGAGTATGGTAATAATATTTAAAATTGGTTAGTTTACTATTATTAAAATGCATTTACTTGGCTATATAAAATTGCTTTTTCATTTCGATTTCATTATGCTCAACCGCCTTGGCCTTCCCGTCTTTCAATTTTCATTCTTTAGAACGAAACAAAGAACGCACTGAAAGTCGCCTTGGGGGTTCGATAATTTTCCTTTTTCTCTTTCATGTTGTTGTTGTTGAGGTATTAAAAAATACATAAAAATTTACATTTAAACATACTTTTAGTTATTACATATACAAATGTGTGTGTAAAGTATAGTTTTGTAACCTAAGAAGTTAGTAAAATGGCCAAACCATCCATGATGTTATCCAAAAAGATTCTTAGTAAAGTATTGCTTGGCTTAGGCAAAACGAGTTGTGGGAGGAGGAGGAGCAGGAGTGGGAGCAGGAGCAGGACCTGGTCCGAGCCTGGAGGAGGAGCTTCTTCTTTCCTTTCCATCTTCTCTAGTTCCGTGTGCTTGAGTTAAAAGTTCCCTCGATTTGTGGGGCTTGTGGGTTTCTCTCTAAAATTGGTGGCTAACTTCTAGTTCGGTTATTAAGGAAACGTGCGTGACTGGTTGCCGTGTGTTTTTGTTTGTGTGGGGTGTGGTGCGGTTGTGCGTTGGTGTATCGTAAGTGTGTGTGTGTGTGGTGTCTATATCCTAGACCTATATATATAGTATATATATTTACTGTACAGTACTAAGAGCTTAGCGAAGTGCTTGGAGATTGGGCTGGTTTCCTGCGCTCGATCGAAATGCAATCTGAAATCTGATTCCCCTTTTTAACCGAATATAATTAGCTTCGCAGCGGTCAAGGATGCCTCCTTTCTATCATCATCATCTCTTCTGGTAAATAATACTTTTGCGTGTGTTTCTCTTCGGCATCGTTGGCACAAAGAAAAGCAATCGAAAAGGTGTGTTGTCGACTGGGCAACGGTGCGTATGCGGAACCAATTTGATCGATATGTGTCTCGTGTGTTAGTTATTGGTTAGTTGTGGGTTCGGACTCGTGGGGATCCTCGAAGCGAAGCATCGAGGACTGTTCTACTCGGCATCGTTGAGCCGCATGGCGTGCTGTATCCTCTTCAGCTCCTTCTCCTTGCGCTCGCGCTCCTTCTGCTCCTTGAGCTGCTTGCGCCGCTTCCGCATCTCGATGAACTTCTTCTGGTCCTCGGGACTCAGGGCCGAGATGCGGCTTGCATAGTCCTGTCGCTTCTTCTCCAGCTTGGCCTTGACCTCCTCGTCGGCCAGCTTCTTGGCCGTCTCCAGGCGGCGCTTCTGCTCGGCGGCCTTGGCCTCTTCGGCGGCCCGCTCCTCAGCTTCCTTGGCCAGACGAGCCTCTTCCGCCTGGCGGATATCCTCTTCTAGGCGCTGCTTCACCTCACGTGCCTCAGCGCTCACCTCCTTAACCAGGCGCGCCTCCTCCTCGGCCAGCTTCTTCTCGAGTTCCTCACGCTGCGCAATCTCCCGTTCGCGCTGGCGTTGCAGCTCTTCGCGCTTCTGGTTCTCCTCGTGCAGCCGGTTCAGTTCCTTCTCCTCGAAGATGCGCGTCTCCTCCAGTCGCTTGAGCTCCAGGCGCTTCTCCTCTTCCTCTTGCTCGCGTCGGATCTGCTCCTGACGCTCCTTCTCCTGCCGCTTTAGCGTCTCCTGCAGCTCCATCTCTTCGCGGCGCTTGGCCTCGCGTGCCTCGGCCAGTTGCTTCTCCCGATCCGTCTTGGCCTGCTGCAGTCGCTTCTCGTACTCCTCGCGTTGCCGCTGCTCCTCGGCCAGCCGCTTGGCGGCATTCAGTCGGTCCTGCTCCTCCTGCTCTTCACGCTGCTTACGACGCTCCTCCTCCCGTTGTTGTCGCTCCTTGGCCTCCAGCTCCCGCTGTTTCTGGATACGCTCCTGGCGGAGTTTCTCGGCCTCCTCGTCGGCGGCCCGTTGGCGCTCCGCCTCGGCCTGGTGCTGCTTCAGCACTTCCAGTTCCCGTTCACGAAGCTGCTGCTGGTATTCCCGTTCCTGTTGGTCGCGCTGCTGCTTCGCCTTCAGTTCGCGAAGCTGCTGCTCCTGGTGCTTCAGCTGTTGCTGCTGGTGGTCATGCTGATTCTTAAGCTTCCGCGCCTCCTCCTCTTGCTGCTGTTTTTCCTGTTCCTCCTGTCGCAGCTTTTCCTTCTCCTCCATTAGCTTATCGTTGGTGTTTCCCTTGTCTTCGCTGGAGCGCTGACGCAGTTCATCAACCTCTTGCGACTTGGGCGCTTGATCCTGCTGTCTTCGATGCTGCTCCTCCCGCAACATACGCTGCTGTTCTTCCCGCTGCAGACGCTGCTGCTCCTCCCGCTGGAGACGCTGCTGCTCCTCCCGCTGGCGACGTTGCTTCTCGCGACGCTGCTGCCGGACCAAAGCCTGGCGCTCCTTCTTGCGTTGCTGGCGACGACGCTCACGTTCCCGCTGGCGCTGCAGCTTCCGGTCGTACTGCGTCATCTGCTGGGGAGTGGGTGAGGGGGCCAGAACATCGTTGGAAGGATTAGCGGCTGATGAAGCCACAGGCGGTGCAACAGTGGAGACACGAGGTCGTTTGCGTATCTGCGATGGCTGATAGTTGACATCATTGGGGTGCTGGTTCTGGTTCTGGTTCTGACGGTTCCTTTGCGGGTTCCTCTGCTGCTTGTTGCGTCGATTATTATTATTGCGCCGGCGGGCGGGAATGATCATCTCCTCGTCGCTGCCCTCGGCCTTAACACGGCGATGGTATCTGGAGAGTAGAAGAGGAATGTATTAATGGAGTATTTCATAAAATCTTTCCAGGTGGAGAGTGTCAACCTGGCTCTAAACATCTTGGACGAGTACAATCTGCGCGGTCACAAGATTCGGGTTCAGAGGGCTCAGTTCCAAATGCGAGGCGAATACAATCCCGCCCTGAAGCCCAAGCGGAAGAAGAAGGACAAGGAGAAGTTGCAGAAGATGAAGGAAAAGTATGTATTTCTAGAAGAACTTAAGAAATGTATAACCATCATTGGACTTTTTCCAGATTATTTGACTGGCGTCCCGATAAAATGCGTGGCGAGCGCTCTAAAAATGAGAAAACTGTCATCATCAAGAACCTTTTTACTCCGGAACTATTTGAAAAGGAAGTGGAACTCATCCTGGAGTATCAGAATAATCTACGTGAGGAGTGCAGCAAGTGCGGCATAGTCCGCAAAGTGGTGATCTACGATGTGAGTATTATACGAGATCTTAGGTGTGTCCATGTTGTTAACGAATTTCCTTACAGCGTCATCCCGAGGGGGTTGCCCAAATCAACATGTCATCGCCGGAGGAGGCCGATTTGGTTATACAAATGATGCAGGGTCGGTTCTTTGGAAAGCGGCAGCTAAGCGCCGAGTCCTGGGATGGCAAGACCAAATACAAGTGCGTTAATGACACACAAATCCAAATCAAGATTGCAAACTTTTTCATCTCCTTACAGAATCGATGAATCCGCTGTGGAGGCCCAGGAGCGACTCTCAAAATGGGATGAGTTTTTGGAAGAGGAAGAGAATGAAAAGAAAGAGGAGCCTCAAGAACAAAAGCAGGAAAAGGAGCAGGGCCCGAACCAGGACCAAGACAGCTCCCCAGAGAGCCAGCTTTTGCCTGGCGATGCCACCCCGTAGATTATGTTCCTTTACGTACCTGCGATCGTTGTCATGCGGATCGATAATCTCCAGGACCACCTCGTTGGCCTGCTCGTTCGGATAGGTGGCGTTCCATCGATTGTAGATTTTGTAGCGATTGGGGCCGCTCACCTTCGGCATCTTGTGCTGGCAGATGAAGCGCAACTTATCCGAGCAGGGACGCGCTGACCAGCGGTACTTGAGGCTCGGGTCGTAGATAGCACAGTTATTGTCCACCGGGTTGCTGTTGGAGATAAGTTGCACATAGCTAGAATTGTTGCTTAAGCGTTAAATCAATCTACGGAAATAAAGGTGGAGAGGAAAGAGCATTGACGGAATCACTTACGTGGGATCCTTTTGGCTGAAGGCGTTGAAGGACAAGTTGCGTCCGCTCATGCTCCACAGCCACTTGTTGTTGTGGTGGTCATAGGTGGCACCCAGCCAGATGGGATCACGTTCTATTAAGAGCAGTAAGAGGATAAGTTTGGAACCTAAATATTACCAGCACGTAGCTCACCTCCAGACAGAGCGTCCTGCTTCTGTAGGAACTGCCTGAGCTTGCGGTCGGCATGCTTGCCCGGCTCCGTGAGATTGGCGTTTTTATCCTTGCAGAAGAAGTGCGCCTCCAGCCAGCTGCTGCGCTGCTCCACCAGCGAGTAGCAATCGGTGCCCACGCGCTGGAATTGCGGCGGGCACATGGCATACATGCGTCGCCTGGGCTTTGCCGTTGGAGCTAAGGCATCCGGACTTTGGGCCGGCGAGGGACCATCGAAGCTGATGCCGGCACTCGCTGCACTGACATGGAGCTCCGCCGGGATTGTGTGTGCAACTGCAAGAGTATAATAAAATAATATAAATCATCGCAGAAGCTGCATTTGCAGTCAGGCGTACTCACATAAAACTAAGATAAATACTTGACAGCACCACATTTTATGGCTGCCACTCATCCTGATGATCCTTCTGCTGTTTACTGGCGGTTACTAATGGGGTTTTTTTTTTGTATACTGTTCTTCCTGTATCTGGTGATGAATCCTCGGATGATCTCGTTTTTTTCTGTGGCCGCTGCTTACATCGCTCAACCGGCCAAAGACGGGCTGAAAGAAGATGTGAATGAAACGAAAACAAACGATGAACATTCGTTAATCTCTCAACTCGTCGTCTGCTTATCATAATTCTATTTTAGCAAATGTTTTTTTTATGCAAATATATTCCAAAGGAGGAGGAGAGCACCATCTAACAAGTGTTTCCGTTGATGGATGGACACACAAACGCCTCCACACTTGGCCAAGACAAATTGAGCCGACGGGAATATATTTGAACAGATTTATTTTATTTATTGGCCCCGCCGCAGAACTGGTCGTCGTCAGTGGTCATCTCTTGGCCATTCAGCAGTAGTCTCTCTTAGCCCGGCTTTGTGTTTGGCGTTTCAATTAACACTTTCATAACTCCCAGCCAGCTCGTCAAGACTCGGAGCAAAGAGGAAGGGATTGAGGCTGCTGCCACCGATGCTTGTTATTGCATTCTATTTTCAATTTGTTGACACACACCGAGTGCCACCGACCAGTGTGTGAAATGGTGTGTGGCTGCAGTGACCCACTTTGTGCATATAAATGACTTGAACTGCCGACGGGTTAATCCGCTAACAGATTTAGAGGGTCTTTGCCGAGTTTATTCTTGGCTCAACTACAACTCAAAGGTCTTTGTCTAAATAAAAGTTGAAATGAAATGAAATTATGGTCTTAAATTGCATTTAAAGTACCTAGAAATAGAACTACTTCATTTCTTGTTAAATATTAAAAATAAAATATATATGGCTGCCTGAACACAAATTTTGGATCTTAATGTTGACTGGGCAAAGATAGTTTTATGCTTTAAACAACTGCTCATATTTAATTTAAAATAAATCCATTTTGTTAACAATAAAATTAAAAAATAAGACTTGAAAACTATTTTTTGGTTTACCTTCTTCTTAGAGAATAATTTAAATGGGATTATAGATTTCTCAGTAAGTTGAATTTTAAGTTTTAAACTTTTAGATTGCAAGAACAAATATCTAGAGTCATAATCTATTGATAAGATATATTTAATAATGTGTATCTGTTATTTTTCTATACTTTCTAATAGGACTATGTGAAAAATAAGATTTCGAACCCTTTATATATGTTTTTAAAACATGTTTATTTACTCTCTTTGCAGGGTATTATAATTTTTAAAAGCTTGTAACGCAGTGAAGGAGTCATTTCCGACCCTATAAATCATATAAATTCTTGATCAGCATCAACAGCCGAATTGGTTTAGCCATTTCAGGCAGAAACATTTTTTTTTAATTTTTTCAAAATTTTATAAGGGGTTACATCGTTAAAAATGTCAAATTTTGAACAATTTTTAATTTTTACTAATTGTTAATGAAGTATGTAGATTTATAAACTTAATTAAAACTAACATAAGAAAGCTTTCCGAATTTAAATTAATAATTTTTTGCCTTAGTTATGAGTTTTTTAAATCTTGATTCTTTTGAGAAAAATGTCATATAAAACTATCGATTCAAATCCTTTTTTGTTTGTATAATTAAAAACTGCTTCTATATTATTCCTTATTTTTTAAACCAAATCTAATTCCAAAGGAAAGTGAAAGTACCTAGCGAAGATCTAATGATAAATCGTAATTAAAATTTCCCCCAAGTAGACAGACATGTCTTTCACCTTTGACATTCCACTAAACTTAATTAAATGATCCATCGCCGGCTGGTTTCCAGCGATGGATGGAATGGATATAGTTATCTGGATACCTGTTCCCCTGGCCAGTACACTCTCTCGCGTAAATTATGGGCTTGATTGTGTCATTTTAATTGAGCCATTAGAGTGTGTGCGGCTAATTCGTGGCCTCCCCTTGCAGTGTTTCCCGTCCACATATGTATGTAGTATGCACTAATCATATATAATTCCTGTAAAATAATTCATGCCCACGAATGCAAACAAATTAAAGGGGATGAGGGGCAGGAGAAAGAGTTAAAGAAGTAAACACACGCCGCGGCCAACTGGCTTGACAGCTTCGCCAGACAGCCCGGCTTGACTTGGCCCGGAGTTGTTGGCTTATGCCTGCTGGGCCTGTCTCTTGGCTCATTGTTGGCTCTTGGCATGTGCCTCTTGGCTTTTCTTGGCCAAACGGCAATCGACAGCAAATTCCTCAACGGTGACGACTTGACATTCATTATTATCATGGGCCCAATACACGGGAAAATATTAATAGGCTCTTGAGATTGGATTGGAATTAATTGGATTTGTTTAAAAATGTTTAAGGGAACATTTTTATGATAAAAAATATATATTTTAAGTTAAAGTTTAAGAAAAGTCTCATTAAATCCTTTTTTTATCTATCCCATATGGATTTTGGACAGAAGAATTAGGCAAGAATACCTTGATTATTAAATCATCATTACATCTAAATTTATGCATTTAACTTTGGAATGAAAATTAAACTTTAAAAAATTAATAAGCCGAAATTGCATAAAAATCTGTTGTGCGTGAGTTTTTATTTGATTAATAAATTTGCGTTACGAGTTTATAAATGGTTTAAATTAATATTTTATTGACTTTTCGATAATTTTAATGATGTAACCTCTTTTAAAAATTTCAAACATGTCTAGATTGACTCTGCTATTGATGCTGATCAAAAAAAGTATATGTATTTATGGGGTTGAAAATGCCTCCCTCAATGCTTTGAAAACTTGGGACTAAAATTAGAAAACATATAATTGTTATCGGATTATCTAAATTTAGAAAATATCTTGATTTCAGAACTTGTTGACAATATTTAAAACTAAAGTGTAAATAGAAGTCTTTAGCTTAAATTCTTATAAATACTAGTAAATGCTTTAAAGACTAACCTTAAGTGGGGTAAGGTTTAAATAGTCTTAAGAGCAACATAATAATGAAAAATATCTGTATAACTCTGCAATCTATTACTAACATTTTCAGGTGTCAATTTCCAATGCCAATATTTGTCCCTGTGTACCGATCTCACCGAGGTTCAGTGGCTGTAATTGTTGTCTCCCCGGGTTTGATTGTTTACTGGTTTTCTGGTTTGTTTGCCCCGACCCGGTGATGATGACGCGATGACGCGAGAGTTCCCGACAGAGATAGACCTTCAAGACGTTGATGTCAACATTATTACAACTCGACATTTGTTTAAGTGGCCAATAAAAAGAGGAACAGAGACGGAGACGGAGACGGAGACGGCACCCACTCGCCGCAAAGCGCAGGGAAGCCATAGTCTGGGATGTGGGCGGAATTTGACTGATTTATGACCCACTTCGGATGCAACTGGCTGTGGGAGCCGCTTTTTGGCCCAGACGACATTCAAATGTCGGGGAAAATTATGGAGGGGAGTATGTTACTATATATCGCGACGCACAAGACCTTGATCTTGAACTTGGGTGTGTCGCCGGCGCCATAAGTTGCTACAGCAGCCAAAACCACATGGAGTTTTGCAGCTGAAAATGTGATTTTAATTGGATCGTATCAACAAGTTCCGGAGAAGTCAAGGGTCATAATTTTTTTTATTTTATGTTAAACCAACCAAACTGAACCCAAAAATGCCAAAAACGAATGAATCAATCAAGCGGCAGCTGGGACCCAAACACATATAAAAAAAAGGTTATAAAACTGTGAGTGTCTGGTAATTTTTTAAAACTTAGAATTAAGACCCTTTGCCGTGGCCTTGGTGGTCAGCTCGGAGGCTGGAGATAAGCTCATCAGCCTTAGCCTCACTTTGGGTATTAGGCCTGAAACCTTGGATTCATCTGGGAATCGCAATGAGTCTGGGGAATGGCATTAAAAAACATACACAAAATAAAAATTAAAAACCCACGTGTGCGCCACTGATAAATGAGTTAGCGTATGATTTTCAAAGGGGGGTTTCCACGAATTTACCTTAATGAGGTGCTATTTTAGTGCTATTTTGGTTCCATTTGCTGGTAGGAAATTAGCATAAATCATGGCGAGTTCCCAGAATTCTTGCGATGATGATATATGATATGTAATTTGTGCGTAATTAGAATCCCATCAAAACGAAAGAGAGCCCCGGAAAGCGGCTATAATTGAGACCTCTTCAGCAGATCATCACCCACTCGCACACCCCATATACATATATTTCGCTCGATTGGCCATCAATCAAATTGTCGAGAATTCGAGTTAAAAGCAAAAGTTGAATGGCTCCGCCAATGGCGAAAACAACATCTTTGGTCTTAACCCCTTAACGTCGGGTTCAATGCGAACGGCTGCCAAATAAATTTAAAAACTAAACAGCGGCTTAAAGATGCTGCGACTTCCAGCTTAGATTTTTTGGTATGTGGCTTTTGGAAGTGGACAAATTGCTGGCATTAATCTTGGCCGAGTTCTGCCCCTGTCATACTTTTAAAGCATCTACAAAATATATATTATGCATGTTTTGGGGGAGTTCCTGACTCTGGTAGAATATGTCGTAATCAATTTGGGGATCGCGGCTGGCCGGAATTAACCCGTTCTTGGCATAATTAAGTTGCCAGCCAGGCCACGAATTTGCATTAATTCCGATTCTGATTCCGATTCGATACGTAAACAAACACTCTCAAAATCGATAGCAAATTGCTGGCTAAATACCAGTTTGCGGTTTAATTAAAGGTAAATGTTTTTTTTCTGCGGTTAATTTGTAGCTGTAGGAAGTTAAACATTTATAAATACAGCACACACATGCCTTCCTTTTCGTTTGACTCGCGCTCTCCAGCTTAATTAATTTATGCGCATTTCATTGATTTAAATGCAATCACAGAAATAGTTTGGCAACAAAAAAATATAAATATATTAAAGAAAAGTAAAGCAGTGACGGTAAATGTGAGCTATAAATCGCACTGCACATTTTCATTGCCTGATATAAAGGTGAAAATGTGGAAAATCGTAGCTGGGCAATATAATTTATACGCATCTCTGCCAGATTCGAGGCAATCACCAGCAGGAGCAGCAGCTTCGTCTGTCTCAATTGCATTGAAAAGTAGCCGAGAAACGTTTTCACAGCTGCCACTGGGTCTGTTTGCCCAGTCTCTTGCCTCTTCCCCACA